AAACTAAATTAAATATTAAAACGCTTATATTAAAATGCAAAAAATTAAACGCTAAAATATAACAATCTTATTGATTTATCATTCTTCATTTATTCTTATGATGAACTATTATTTCTTATTCGCAACTTATTTATGATAATAACAATTTCGGAAAAATGATAATAACAATTGAGTACTATCAAACAAGCTATGATTAATGGAGACAATTTACGATATGGATATCAAGCTTGTGATTAAACAAACCAACGTGCAAAATCGAATTGATCAAACCAACGATTGGGACAAGCCAACGTTATGATGATTTGTGATACAACTTGATTACCAAAACGATAAACCACTAGGACAACAAACTCTCTGTGACTTCTCCGATGAAATTATCAGAAGAGGGATAATGTTGCATTATTCTAATTACAATATAAATTTTATTTTTTGTTATAATCTAATTTTATTTTATAAACGGCGTAACCTTACTTTTTTAATATTATTTTACTTTTTTGTATTTCGTTTTATATTCTAATTTATATTTTAGAAAATGTATATATACCTTTAGAAAAGAAAAAGAAAGGAGTTAATAAAATATATTTTTTATTTAATAAAGTTAATATAACATATTTATTATTTACCGGCACTTAATTCATGTTACTTTACACGGGGCACCATGCAAAGAATAAGGATGGTGACGATATAGCGCGAGGTTCGAGTCAGTAAAAATATATTTTATTAACTAACTTCTTTTTCTTTTCTTAAGGTATAAATACATTTTCTAAAATATAAATTAGAATATAAACGAAATACAAAAAAGTAAAATAATATTAAAAAAGTAAGGTTACGCCGTTTATAAAATAAAATTAGATTATAACAAAAAATAAAATTTATATTGTAATTAGAATAATGCAACAATTATTAGAGAGATAAAAATTTGTGAGCAATAATAAATATCTAAGCATGAAAAACAGGGGCGTCGCTAGCCCTGACAATCTCAGGGGGCTCAGCTAAAAAAATTTTATGCGGGGCAAAGCCCCCCATACTCTCATTTTGCAGGCCTTTGGCCCACTTTTGTCCGGTCTTCGCCGGGTTTTATATTAATATATAATGCTTTTGTAAAATTTGGTAACTCTAAACTATTTTTCTGAATTTCATATTTTGTCATTTACTATATTTTGCATACAAAATAAACTAACATATAAATAATTAAAACAATAGAAGACATTTTTTAAAATAATATTTTTTTAATACAAAATCTATTTATTACAGTATAAAATATTTTTTTTGATGATATAAAAAATTTTGCGTATAAATTACAAGTGATAAAAAAGGTTAATTAATTCATTCATATGCCTCAAATGATAATGGAAAAACCACATAAGGCTATATAATTCTTAGCAAGTTACATTGACAAAAGGTCATAACTAATATAACTCTCTGTTACCATTTTAGATAATATTTTATAGAATGGACTAATAAGAAAAAATTTATAGACCTTACCAAATCAACAATTCATGAAGAAGAGAATATAAACGACCAATCCAAATCATAAACCTATATGGTGGTTAGAGCTTCCTCATAGATGACATAATGGTCGCTAGATAAGTAATCGAGAAAATTATTGTGAGATATTAAATTTATAAAAGATTATCTTCCATTTTTAATGATATATAAACGACTATACAGTTAACCATCATTGCTTATCTAAAATATGCAATCACATGCTCTCAGCAGCTGTAGTAATAATCTTAATTACATAGCCCCACTAATAATAGATGCTGATTAATTTACAGTCATAGCCATGACACTCACGATGGTAACTCATATATCAGAATTCATTTTGTTAGATAAATTGATAATACAAAAAACACTAAAAATCTTTTGAAGAAATTATGCAAATATATTGAAGCCCTGAGCTATTTACATGGCAAGGATGCCACATTAGAAATGAAACATTTTGTAACTATAAAATAAGAACCAGAGTTGTATGATGAAAGCAATTAAGATTTTATATTTTATTATCGCAAGTTGGTATATTATATCTTAAAATAATAGTAGTTTGTAATAATATCCAAAATATATTCTTATTAAAAATTTAATTTAAAACTGTTTTTCAAAGAAGAAAAAAAATAGCTTTCTAATAAAAAAAGAGAAGAAAATATATATAATTTATTACATACATTGTGGGATGAATAATAAAACGTTTAATATTAATTATTTATTAATTATATAGATGGCATTAAATAATTGAATGCAAATTGTTACTTATATTATCATCAAAAGTATTTATTAGTAAAATTTTAAACATTAACTGTAATATATTATATAACTGTCAAACATATCTATAAAAGTGGCATTTTACCTAATATTTTATAAATAATTATATATTATAGAGGATTATAAACTATATGTATACTTAATTTTTATAAATAGTATATTTCTTATACTTATTTGGATTTGGATCTTGAAAATAATTTTAGGAAGGGACATAATAATTAAATTTAGAAATCAATAATATATTTGATTAGTGATTTTGAACTCGGCTAATTGCATTATTAAATTTGTTAATTTTCAATTAATAAATGATTATATTTATTTAATTAGAGTTATAAATAATTTAAATAATAAAAGTCAATTAAGCTTCAACGGTTAATGCTGAATTAATATTTAGTGATATTGATATATTTTTAACAAAGAATTTGGTTAAAATTATAATTTATTTTTATTAATCTAATCTAATATAATTAAAATAGTATTCATTTGTTAAAAATTTAGATAGTCTTATTAATTTTTAAATAATAAAATTAAATATACATATTACTCAATAGAATTATAAAAGAAATCATTCAGGGGGCAATTAAAAAAATTTATTTTTACCTTAAGGGGACATCAAGGAGCAATTTAAAAAATTTTTTTTTGCTTCAGTGAGCTATTCAAATTTTTAAGGGGGCTCGAGCCCCCCTAGCGACGCCACTGATAAAAAATCAGCTTGAAAACAGGTGTAGCAAATCAAATTTCTGAATTCTTATACTTTTATTCTCCCAAGGGAAAATAAATTGAAAGTCAAAATTACAAATTCTTTGGGTGATTTAATATTGTTGAATATTTATTTATATTAAATTATTAAAAAATTAATTTTTACTCTATAACTTTATCACCAAAAAAAATGCAAATTGGATCATCCAAATAAAAAAATGATTAACTAAAATATTTCTTTGCACATTTCCAACCTAAATATCAATTCTCTTTTAATTTTTTGCACACTTTCAAGGTTCTATGTTACGCCATTTTACTCTAAAATATTTTACTCACTGAATTTTAATAATGATAAATTTCTTTATTTTTAATTCTTTGTTTTCTTTTCTTTTCAATTAAAATTATACTATTTACCCTATTTTCATCGTTCTCATCTACGATATCTCAAACTGTACTTGTTATTTCTGTTAATTAAATTTTGTTATATCTGATACAATATACAAAGGTGAGATCTTATATCAACTCTAATTTTCAAGTAAAATTTCTCTATAGGACCATAAAAATACTTTCATATGCCTTGCCTCGGAATATCATGGCATTTTGCTGGTATGGCAGTTCCACTATTTCTCTTAATTTTACTGGCCAACCCAAAATTTTACTTCGATTTTTATACATTTTTAGGTTAAGCTTTATTTATTTCTACGAAAAAAATTAGATATTTTTTAACATTTTAAACTCTAAGTGATCTCGCAGCGTCTACCTACATTATTTTTTAACCGTTCACCTACTCTGACGTTATCCTTTATTTAGCGGTGGGTGGAATTCACGTCTTTCAGTTATTTTGGTTTAAAGATTTAGAACGATTCAGAAAATATTAAAGGTTCATTCATTCAGTTCACTCCATTCATTGTCATCCAAAATATATTTCATGTAGTAGAGTAAAAAGATATTTTTAGAATATCAATTTTACAAGAAAGGAAAGAATATAAAATACTAATTTATTCTACATAAAATATACTCTGAATAATTTCACCCATTATACTCTCCCTGCCTTCCCCCCCCCCCCCTTAAATAAAGAAAATGTAAAAATAATATTGTGAATAAGTTATATTATTTTATTACAATTTTATATTTATTATTACAATTTTATTTTTAAAAGTTATATAAAGGGAATAAATTTAAAGTTATATTATTATCATGGCATTTGATTTATTCGCGGTTTGTTTTTGAGGGCTCGTTTTATCTATCAAAAATATTTAAATAAAATATATTTATCATTAGTTCACATTTTTTTACAATTTTATTTTTAATAATAAAAGCCATTTAAAGAGAATAGAAATTTATATTCTTATCAAGGGCGATTTATTTGCCGTTTGTTTGAGGGGTAGTATGATCCTTGCTTTACATAGTTGATTTTGAATAACGAAAATGATTTCTGTCATAAATAAAATATATTTAGCATTAGTTCACTACTTTTTACTTTTTAATAATAAAAACCATTTAAAAGGAATAAAATGAAAATAATATTCTTATCAAGGGCGATATGCTTGTCGCTTGCTTTTGAGGGTTAATATGATCCTTGCTTTACATAGCTGATTTAACGAAAATGATTTCTGTCATAAATAAAATATATTAAGCATTAGTTCACATTTTTTTTCAGATTTCTTTTTAATAATAAAAACCATTAAAAGTAATAAAATGAAATTTATATTCTTATCAAGGGCGATTTATTTGCCGTTTGCTTTTGAGGGGTAGTATGATCCTTGCTTTACATAGTTGATTTTGAATAACGAAAATGATTTCTGTCATAAATAAAATATATTTAGCATTAGTTCACTACTTTTTACTTTTTAATAATAAAAACCATTTAAAAGGAATAAAAAGAAAATAATATTCTTATCAAGGGCGATATGCTTGCCGCTTGCTTTTGAGGGTTAATATGATCCTTGCTTTACATAGCTGATTTTGAATATCGAAAATGATTTCTGTCATAAATAAAATATATTTAGCATTAGTTCACATATCTTTCCAGATTACATTTTAATAATAAAAACCATTTAAAAGGAATAAAATGAAAATAATATTCTTATCAAGAACGATATGATTGCCGCTTGCTTTTGAGGGGTGATATGATCCTTGCTTTACATAGCTGATTTTGAATAACGAAAATGATTTCTGTCATAAATAAAATATATTAAGCATTAGTTCACATTTCTTTCCAGATTTCTTTTTAATAATAAAAACCATTAAAAGTAATAAAATGAAAATTATATTCTTATCAAGGGCGATATGGTTGCCACTTGCTTTTGAGGGGTAGTATGATCCTTGCTTTACATAGCTGATTTTAAATAACGAAAATGATTTCTGTCATAAATAAAATATATTTAGCATTAGTTCACTACTTTTTACATTTTAATAATAAAAACCATTTAAAAGGAATAAAATGAAAATAATATTCTTATCAAGGGCGATATGATTGCCGCTTGCTTTTGAGGGGGGATATGATCCTTGCTTTACATAGCTGATTTTGAATAACGAAAATGATTTCTGTCATAAATAAAATATATTAAGCATTAGTTCACATTTTTTCCCAGTTTTCTTTTTAATAATAAAAACTATTAAAAGTAATAAAATGAAAATAATATTCTTATCAAGGCCGATATGATTGCCGTTTGCTTTTGAGGGGTGATATGATCCTTGCTTTACATAGCTGATTTTGAATATCGAAAATGATTTCTGTCATAAATAAAATATATTAAGCATTAGTTCACATTTCTTTCCAGATTTCTTTTTAATAATAAAAACCATTAAAAGTAATAAAATGAAAATTATATTCTTATCAAGGGCGATATGGTTGCCACTTGCTTTTGAGGGCTGGCTTTATCCATGTTTTATCTATAGGTTAATAATTTTTAAATAAAATATATTTAGCTTTAGTTCACATATTTTTACAATTTTAATTTTAATAATAAAAGATATTTAAAGAGAATAAAATGAAAATTATATTCTTATCAAGGGGTTTGATTTATTTGCCGCTTGCTTTTGAGGGCTCGCGTGATCCACGTTTTACCTATCAATGATTTTGAAAAACAAAAATAAATTTATCCAATGTTAATTAAAATAATAATATTTAGCCGTAGTTTATTGTAAATTAATTATAAGAAAAACAAATAATTCTTGTGAATCGCTATTTATATTTTATAAACTTAAATTTAAAATATTCAATAATTCTTAAATTTTTACAAAGTTTTAAAACTATTTTCTGGTTTATGAGAATTGGATTGTTTAATAGAGTTCGACGAATCGATTTGTTTTAAATGGGAACTTCAATAATGTTTTTTTTAAAAATTATCCTTAGAAATGTTATAATTATGATTAGAGCTATTCTTTTAAAATTATTGCAAGCTTTTAAAAATATAAGACCAGCGTTTGCTTCGTTTGAACTTTCACTACATTTCATATCACTTGTTGGTACAGATTAAATAAATTAGAAAGTATATCCTTTCGCTTATACAAAATTATTTATTTCCCTTTTTACAGACCTACCCCCCTCTTTTCTGCATTTCAGAAATTATTATCAACCTAACAGAAAATATACATCACAAAATCATATACTATATTTTACAATATTTCTCAGCGCAAGATTATTAAATTTAACACAAAAATAAATAGTGTAAAATATTTAGGACGTATTAATAAATTTTAAATAGACAACCAATTTTTTACCATACCCCGGATTTATAAACAAACTACCTGTAAAAATATAAAATATTCGTTTGGACGATTGTTTTTTAAAAGATGGCCCTATTATGATGAAAATAGTCACCAATTCGGCATAGCTAGTTTCATATATTTACTTCATCTATATCCAAAATATAGAGGCTTATGTAAATATTTGATTGACTATTGTTCTCACAACACTAATCTGAATTACTGTTCACTCAGTAAAACGAGTCGTATTCTCTGAGAAGCAGAGTGAAAGATCGAGTGAAGCAAAGCAAACGGTTATTTTATATAAAAACTACCAAATTTTAAAAGTAGCCGTCGTAAAAATTTGAATTAAAAACATTTCTAAGGATATTTAGAAAATATTGGAGTTTCCATTTATAACAAATTGATTCGCCTCACTCTATTTATTAAACCATTATATTCTTCTGATCTTTTGGAATCTTGAATTTTTTAAAACACTTTCGAGAAATTATTTTCTAAATTAACTTATGTAAAACTTCGCTTTATGAATATGCCGATTACATATAAATTATTTAATAAATAAAATACCTCTAGAATATATAGTAGTTAGAAGATATTCCCTTTCATCCACTTCTGGTATGGTATCCAAGATATGTAATTGCCTTTTTGACCTTTCGAAACGCATTAAATGATCGATGGGTTTAATCAATTTGCCAATCCTCAATATCTTAACTTCGTCTTCTAAGCCAGTAAACGAGTGGTCTTTGAAACAGCTTTGAAAACTTGCGTATTCGAAAGCTTTGATCTTAGCTTCCACTTTATTTTGTTTAGAAATAAATTATTATTAATTTTGAAAGCTATATAACTATAAATCATTTTAAAATTATTTAATTTTTTTAAGGTTTCAAGGTAATTTCAATATTTGAAAAGAACTAAATCCAGCCTAGTAGTTTTAATTCTGACCTTTATTGGGTATCTTTTTGAGAGCCTTAGATAATCTTATTAATCCTAATGAATTATTCTTTAATTATATGATTCAGGTCTAACTCATATTTAAATTTGATCTGAATACATTTTTAATGGGGACTCATCTTTCGTTAGAGAGACAAAAAATTAAATAACTTTTTATTAACTTAATTACACTCTTAATTTAGCTTTTTAAAATTAAAAAATTTTTACATCTAAATTCATAAATGAGATTAATATTCTAATTACTAATAGCCATTTTCCTCTCTCTCGCATTAGAAAAAGCTAGGATGGGCTTCGACATCTTTGGGTTCTTATTTGGATTCCTATATAACCTAACCACCCTGTTCCATATCCGTCCGATTTGATTCCTGTCGGGTAGCTTCACTTGGCGAAATGACCATCTTCTTGCTACTTTCTTTGCGGGGTGTGATTTCTTCTCATCTGTTTAACAAATATAAGAATTAATTTATCAAAATTTAAATTCTTAAATAAATCTTGAATGAAAAATTTAACGATAATTGGCAAATATTTTTCTAACATTTTTGAAATTGTAATAACTGTGTTCAATATTTTTATGTTCGAGTGAATAAATAACGTTTTAAAAATTTATTAATAAATTTGTTTGAAAAGGGATCTGTCTGTTGTCATAGTCCTCTCTAATTTTAAAAAAATACAGAAAACCAGTTCCATACTACCAGCGTTATTATTCATTTATTTTGTTTGATAATGTTTCAAGTTTACAAAAATTTTTATCTTAATTATTTGAATAATAGCTGTGTCAAAAGGTATTGACGTATTATTATTGAAAAATATAAGAATAGAATTTAAGAGAAAGGATAAGGGATTTTAAAAGAGGACGTGCAAAAAGAAAATTAGTGAATAGAAACTAGGAAAGAGAAGGAAAGAAAGATTACAAGGAGAGATGGAAGATTATTCAATAGGAGAGATAAAACTTTGAAGAGTAAATTGCATGATCATATGTTATTTTCTTTCATTATTTAAATCGCCTAATTTTTATTTGAGACATTTATATAAAATAAAAAAATTTGAAATTATTTATGAAATACTAAGTGTAGAGAGTTTGCTTATTATTTCTTTACCAGCTTTTTAGTGGATATAGGGATCACGGTAATAAAAAAGAAGAATGTATGAAGATATTTATTTTATAAAAAACCACTAATTATTAACAAAATATTATAAAATTAATAAATTGAATTTAACTTTCGTCATCAAGTGGTATATCAAACCATTCGCATTGATTCTGGGTCGTAATTACTATATGATTTAATTTATATTTGAGATACGATAAAAAAAAATATAGGAATAAAAAATTTAAAAATCTTTTATTACATTTCTAAATACATGATGTTTGCTTATTGTATGAAGCAAATACAGGGTGATAAACCATTATATTTATCAGTCCGTTCATGTATTAAAAAAAGTGGGAAAAAAAGATAAATAAAAATAAATAAAGATATAAATTTTATAAAATCCACTATTTATTAAGAAAAAATGAGAAAATAAATTGTATTTTACTTGCATCCTCATATGGGGTATTCGATGTAGTTGGTTCGTCCTTACTTTGATAAACATATAATTCATCGCTAAAGGGTCTTTTCAGACTTGTGGTAGGTTCACTAGAAAGGTTAGTCTCTTTAATTTGTTGTTTTTTTTCAATATTTGTAACAACGTGTAATAATTTGAGAAGCGATAAAAATAAACATTTTAATAAATACAGAATTTTAAAATAGTTTTAGCAATTAAGTTAATATGTTCACTTAATGTTTAGGGTAGGCCGAGAATGCTAAACTATTACTTTTAACTCTATTTTGGGCAATGGTGGCGACAAAATGATTAAACATTGTTTAAATATCCGATAATTATTAACTAACAATAACAGAATTAATAAATTGGACTTTACTTCCTTCCGGTATATCCCTTTCAAATTTAGGTTGTTCAATTACGTTTGATTTGGAGGTTATAAAACGCTTTGTACTTTGGGAAATTCGCAATACCCTCTGTAATAGGCTTATCCTACTATCTTTTATCATCACTTTATCGATTTAGACACGTTAAAAAATATATTATAAAAATTTTTTAATACTAACTTTACAATGTGCTCATGATTTAAGGCTTAACATTACATTTAAGCGTGCTTAGTAGATGTAAGGGGTATTGGAAATAGTTTTATAAATATCTACATTAATAATTAAAAATTAATTATATTTTACTTTCATCCTTTCTTGGCTTTTCAATCTTTGTATTTAAAGTTGTCGAATTAGTTGCAATTAAATAATCCTTAAGGGATCGTTTTACCCTTTTGCCATTTTCGTCAGAAGAGTCAGTGAGTTCTTTAATTTGTTTTTTATGATGTTTGTAACAACTTAAATAATTTAAGTGTCGATAAAAAAAAATAGAGAATTTTAAAATATTTTATGTAATTTTAAGTTAATATGCTCGCTTATTGTTTAGGGCAGTGGCAGAGTGTTAATCTATTATTTTTACCTATTTTGGGGAGTGGAGGGGGAATAGTTAAAATTTATTAATCAAGATATGCATTGTTAAAAAACCCATAATATTAATCAACAAATTACAAAATTAATAAATTGTATTTTACTTCTATCCTCCGGTATAGGTTGGTTAATTATATTTGGATTGGATTTGGAATGCTTTTTCCTCTTGGCAATCCCTAAAGCTCTTTGGAATAGGCTCATTTTACTAGCTTTCATGGCTTTTGTATTTGACACAAGTTAAAATATATTTAATAAAATACTTAATTTAAAAATTAATAATTAATAATTAATACTAAGTTTATAATGTTTGCTCATGATTTATGGTATATTAAAGGTGCCTAACATTAAATTTAAGAGTGCTTGGAAGATGTAAAGGGTATTGGAAAAGGTATTATAAATATCTACATTAATATACGTAACTTATAAATATGAAATTACAAAATTAATTTTATTTTACTTTCATCCACTATCGGAATTTCAATTAATACATTAGAATTGGTTGATATATCGCTTATGCTTTCATCAAGAATCAAGTCATCCTTAGAGGATCTTTTTACCCTTGTGCCAGTTTCGTCAGAAGGGTTAGTGAGTTCTTCAATTTGTTTTTTTTGTGATGTTTATAATAAAATGTAATAATTTAAAACTCGATAAAAAGAATTTTAAGATTGTTTTTGTAATTTTAAGTTAATATGTTCGCTTATTGTTTAGGGCGGTCAGAGTGCTAATCTATTACTTTTACCACTATTTTTTGGGAATGGACATAGGGGAAATGCATAAATGAAGATATAGGTTGTTAAAAAAAACCCATAATTATTAATCAACAAATTACAAAATTAATAAATTGTATTTTACTTCCATCTTCCGGTATATTCCTTTCAAAATTAGCTTGATTAGTCACGGTTGGAGTGGATTTGGAGGTTGTAAAACGCTTTTTCCTCCGGGGAAGCCCCAAAATCCTTTGGAGAAGACTTACTTTACTTTCATTCATTTCATCGATCGCTTTTCCTATTATTATGGCTTCTGATTTTTATTTGAGACGTTAAAAAAATGTTTATTTAATTAATACTAAGTTTATAATGTTTGCCAATAATTTATGGCATATTTACGGTGCCTAGCATTACATTTAAGATAGAGGGGTATGGGAATAAGTATTGCAAATATCAACATTAATATACAATACTTATTAATTAAAAATTACAAAATTAATTGTATTTTACTCTCAGCCACTTTCGGAATTTCAATCATTATATTTGGAGTTATATTCGAATTGGTTGCTATATCGCTTTTCCTTTCGTCATTAAGAGTTAAATCATCCTTAGAGGATCTTTCTACCCTTTTGCCAGGTTCGTCAGAAAGGGTAGTGAGATCTTTAATATATTTTTTTGTGATGTTTATAACAACTTGTAATAATTTGAGACTCGATATATAATAAAACATTTTATTAAATGCAGAATTATTTTGCAATTTTAAGTTAATATGTTCGCTTGTTGTTTAGGACTAGTGTGCTAAACTATTACTTTTTACAATTATTTTGGTGAGTTGGGGATAATATATATAATAATGAAAAGCTAATATTTGCAAAAAATCAATTATTATTTACTCACAACTTCTCCTGGTTTTCAACCTCTATTAAATCTGCTTTTACTAAAGATTTGACCGTTATGTTCAATGCAATTTTTAATTATTATAAAAATAACGTTTACAATATATTAGCCTATATTATTACAATGTCGATGCATTTATTTTAGAGGTTCAGTTACATTCGGGTTATAGATTAAAAATTTTATAATATATTTATTCCTTACTACTTATATATAAATATGTAACAAGAAATATTTATAGATTATTTAAGCACGTTTTGAGGTCTACAGAAGAAAATGAATATAACCGTCAAATCTAATCTAAATTCTGATAGTATCGATAAACCGGAGAATAAAACCATCAATAATTAGTGTTTTACTAGAAGAAGTGTGAGGATTAACAATTCTTGAGTAATGTTTTCTCGCTGATATAGAAAATTTCTCAAAATTAAAATTAGACATCGTAATATTTAATAATATTTTTTTTACAACTTAAATTATTTAATGATGATATTTAGAATTACTACAACTATAGGATGATTGTTGCGTATTTCATAATAATTTTTTTTTTGATATATGATAGAGCAATTTCTAAAAAAGAAATTTTTTATAATAATAATCTGAAAGAGAAACCTTACTAATTAAATAAATATTACTTAGAACTTGATTAGGCTTTTAGGAGGACCACAAATTTTATTTATTTTAGTAGCTTTTATTTAAACATATTACAATCTTTTTATCAGTGAGTTAAATTTTTAAAGAAATTCCTAATGAGGATTTGTAGGTTTCCCAAGAAATATATAGGAAGAGTAGGCATCTACAGCCCACTAGTTATAAATATTTTATAGCTTTAAGTTTTTCACATCAATGAAATTTAATCTAAAGTGAAACATTATATTTGAAAGCATAAAAATGCAAGGTAGCCTGGGAAGAGTTTCTTCAAGGCATAAATGAATCTAGGTCTTAGAAATTCAATAGGAGAGAAAGAATCTATTTCAAGTTGTAATATTACAAAATAATATCCGGTTTCTAGCCTAAAAATATATCAACGATAATATTGTTTTTTTTCAAAATTATGCATTTATTTGTAAAATAAAGTTTGCAATACATTAGCTTATTGTTTTTAAAGGTCGATTCATTAATTTTAGAAAATAAAGATTAAAATATATTAGCCTATTGTTTTAAAACGTCTTGGTATTAATTTTATAGGTTCAGTTACATTTGGGTTATATATTTAAAATTTTATAATAATTTTATTTTTTAGCACTTAATTTTGAACCGCGGTATACCGGTACCATAGTATATCGATAACAGAAAGATTTAAATAAGATCATTTTTAGGCAAGTTTTGAGGATTTTTTTTATCTCCGAGAAGAACATAAATGTCAAATCCAATCTAAACTCAGATACAAATAAAGGCTGATATATCAGTAGATGGAGTTAAAATATAATTTATTTATGTATATAATTTTAAATTAATAGTTGTGGTGTAGATTTTAAACTGAAATAAGGTGTGCCAAACAAAAATTTTATCTCCGATAAAAGTTTATTTTTAACTATTTTCATCCCACAAACTGATTTTATACAGATTTTTAAAATAATTATATAGCCCCCATCATTAAATATTATGGTGTTTACTAGAAGAAGTGTGAGGATTAATAATTCTTGAGTAATGTTTTCGCATTGATGTAGAAAATTCCTTAAAATTATAATTAGACATAATTATATTTCGTAATATATTTTTTTCAACTAAAATAATTTAATGATGATATTTAGAATTACTATAACTATAGTGTGATTGTTGCGTATTTTGATATTTATACGATTGAGCGATTTCTAAAATAGAAATTCTTTATAAAATGATCTGAAATTTAAGTAATTAGTAATCAGAACTTGCTTACTCTTTTAGGTGGGCCACAAAAAATACTTTATGTATTTTATCGGCTTTAATTTAAAATAATCACTATCTTTTTATAATAAGCAGTGAGCTAAACTTTAAGAGAAAATTCTAGTGAGTATTATGACAATTCCCAAGGAAGAGTAGGCACCGATAGCCCATCAGTTTATTTTATAAATATTCTGTAGCTTTAAGTTTTTCAAATCAATCCAGTTTAATCTAAAGAGAATCAGATTAACTCGTGGAGGTGTGAAATGCATGGATGACGACTGGGAAGAGGTTTCATAAGGCATAGATGAATCTAGGTCTTAGAAATTTAATGGGAGAGATAAAAAGAATCTTAATTTAAAAATTTCAAGTTGTAATATTACAAAATAATATAAGGTTTCTAGGCTAAAAGTATATCAACGATAATATTGTTTTTATTTTCAAAATGATGCATTTATTTGTAAAATAAAGTTTGCAATAGATTAGTCTAATGTTTTTAAATGTCTATTCATTAATTTTAGAAAATAAAGTTTAAAATATATCAGCCTCTTGTTCTAAAACGTCTAGGTATTAATTTTATATGTTCTGTTACTTTTGGGTTATAGGTTTAAAATTTTATAATAGTTTTATTCCTTAGCGCTCATTTTTGAACTGTTGTATATCGGTACCATAGTATATCGGTACTAGAAAAGATTTAAATAAGATATTTAGGCAAGTTTTGAGGATTTTTTTTATCTCCAGAGGAAAAAGAACATAAAGGCTAAATTCATCTAAATTCAGATACAATAAAGGTTATCAGTAGATGGTTAAAATATAATCTATTAACTTATTTAATTTTAAGTTAATAGCTAGTGGTGTAGATTTTAAATTGAAATAAGTTGTGCTAAACAAAAATAGTACCTAGGTAATACAATAAAAGTTTACTTTTAACTATTTTAATCCCACAAACTGATTTTATACAGATTTATAAAATAATTATATAGCCCCCATCATTAAATATTATGGTGTTTACTAGAAGAAGTGTGAGGATTAATAATTCGTGAGTAATGTTTTCGCATTGATGTAGAAAATTCCTTAAAATTATAATTAGACATAATTATATTTCGTAATATATTTTTTTCAGCTAAAATAATTTAATGATGATATTTAGAATTACTATAACTATAGTGTGATTGTTGCGTATTTTATAATAACTATATTTTTTTGATATTTATACGATTGAGCGATTTCTAAAATAGAAATTCTTTATAAAATGATCTGATATTTAAGTAATTAGTAATCAGAACTTGCTTAACCTCTCAGGAGGGCCATAATAAATACTTTATTTTTATTGACTTTTATTTTAATATAATCACTATCTTTCTATAGTAATAAGTGAGTTAAATTTTTAAAGAAAATACTAATGAGAATTTTATAAATTCCCAAGAAATTTATAGGAGGAGTAGGCATCTACAGCCCATGAGTTAATTTTTTTAATCTAATAAGAATCATTACATTAGTTAGTGGAAGTGTGAAAAGCAGTTTGACGACTGGAAGGAGTTTCTCTAAGGCATAGATGAATCTAAGTCTTAGAAATTCTAAAGGAGAAAAAAAAAGAATCTTAATTTATAAATTTCGTGTTGGAATATTGCAAAATAATATAAATATTTCTAGCCTAAAAATATATCAGCTGTAGTATTGTTTTTATTTTCAAAATGATACATTTATTCGATAAATTTTAATATAAACATTTTGTCTGAGTTCAGTAGAGAGCGCTAAACCTTCATTTTAGGAAAGATAAGTATACATGTATGAAGGTCGTTTAATGAGTGTATATATTTCTTTGTTGTTTTTATTTTGCGAATATGAATACCGCTGTCGCGTAGATTGGGGTAAAACGATTGGTATTTTGCATTTTACCATAATATTTTAAAACATTAACAAATCAGATTATATATTTATTTATGTACTCAAATCCCGCATCTGCAAAATAAAAAAAGAGTGTATCTCTCTACCTAGAATATTTTAGGGGCTTTGATTAAATATGTGAAGTGTGCCATTTTGACATTTTACCTTATTTCCAGGGTAAAATGGCTAAGCAGCAGGGTAAAGTGGTTAAAATATAATTCCACATAACTATATTGTTTAATTGAACCCAATATTACAATTACGACGTCTATTCATCGTTTTTAGTATAAACTAATCGGTATAATACCTAAATGCAAAAATAATAACAAAATGGTACAATTTGAGTGTGCCCATTTTAGGCATATCGTACATTTCAATTATTTTTCCTCTTTGCGACCATTCTTAGAATTTTATTCCAAATAAACATAGATACTATTTATTAATCTTTTTTTTGCTCAAAAATATCTTTTTATATGTTGTAGACGTTAATATTTAAAAATTATCTTTTTACAGCTTAAGTCAGATGTAGGATTTTAACCGTTTTACCCCAAAACAACTTTATCCCAAGCCAAGGTGATATAAAATGTATAAATCGTTATTGCGTAACTCCCAGTTAATCTATAAACTTCGATGAATTTTATATTATAGCTATGGCTTTAAGGTAAATGCATACAAATTCTTAAATTCTGAGCCTCAACATATTTTACTAAAAACAAAGAAAGCTAGAAGGTAATTTCTGGTTGGTGAAATATGTTAAATCGGGATTTTTTAAAAAATGAAAATAGGTTATAAATTAGATATATTTCACGCCAAATTTAAAGTCTCTATGCTCATATTAGAAATTTATCGCGTTAACTTTGATGCCCTGTCAATCGCTTTATCCCATACCTCCCCTAATCCCATATAAATAATTGGTTGATTTTATAAATGATAAGAATCAAATTAGATTTTTTTATCAACTATTCTGATATCTATTATTTTTATGGAACATGGGATGGGAGTAAATAATAAATGGAATAAATGAAATTATAAATTTTTTTTGAAAAATAGATTAATTTGACTTTTATAGATTATTAAATTATAACTAAATTAAACAAAAAAATTATTAATTTGATGATAAAATTTAGTAAATTTTTGTTTAAAACACTGAGAGGTGATTCAGAAAATTTCACTCTAATTGACAAAATATCCCTTTTTTCAAATGGCTACCCTTTTTGACCTACCACATAATTCATTTCCTCTAAATTATATTATTTTTTCAATTTAGGATGTAAAATTAAATTTTAAAATTTTATAGACATTAATTTAAAATTAAAAAAAAAGACTGAAAATTCGATTTATTCAAACCAAATGATTTTATTTCGACAAAGAAGATACATTATTATTCGTATTCGAAATAAATGAAAATCAACGATATGGTTAATCTTTGTTAATAGTTTATTTAAATTTATTATATATAGGACCTTATATGAATGAGCCTTCAGCGGGCCCAGCCGAATGTTGTGGCTATCAGCTTCCCCGGTCCACCCCTATAATAAGTTTTTTTCCTGTTTTCCAATACATTCCCAAGTAAATATATATTTTAATGAGTATTTTAACTTGATTTGTTAGTAAAATATATTTTTTTCCCCATATTTATTTAATTATATTTCCACTAAAAGATATTTTATTTATACTTACTATAGGAAAAAAGACAGTCATTTAATAACATATGAAAGTGGTACAAGGAAAACACAGATAGATTACATGCTAATCTCTCGCAGAAGATTAAAAAATGTAATAGGCTGCAAAGTCATCCCAGGAGAAGATATAACCGCGCAACACAAGCAACTAGTCATGGATTCTCAAATAAATACACTCAAAATAAGATAAAACTTGAACCATGCATCAAATGGGGTAAATTAAAAACAATGACAGATGCCTTTGCAATAAATGCAAACATTGAAACAATAGATTCCTCACAAGTCAGTGAAAAAATGTGGACAGATCTTTCATCCAGATTAATAGACATTGCCAAATCGACACTAGGCTTGACAAGGGGAGGCAACAAATCATACAAAGAACTATGGTGGTGGAATGAAGAGGTACAAACCACTATACAGGAGAAAAATGCCCTATTTAAAATATGGTACAAATCCATAAACCCAGATGACAAGACAAATTACAAAAAATCCAAGAGAATAGCTACAAAGGCGGTGGCTAGGGCCAAATCTATGGCATACGATGACATGTACGAAGATCTACATACCAAAGAAGGGCAAAATAAAATATACAGATTAGCCAAACAGCGAGAAAAGAATTCTAGGGATATAAACGGAGCTCCAAAAGTAATCAAGAATAAAGATGGGTGATAATAAAGGAAAAAGAAATAATGAATAGATGGAAAGAATATTTTCAGGAGCTTCTCAACTTTAATCCCCACATACTACATCTAGATGAACACTCCCTATGTCAAAACCTTGTACAACCAATAACATAACACATGCCTCAAGCATATGAAAAACAACAAAGCTAGGGGCTCAGATGATATTCCAATAGAAAGCTTAAAAACACTAGGAGATGATGGAATACATCTCCTCACAAATCTGTACAATAAAATAATAGGAAAAGAAGAGATCCCTCAAAAATTGAGGCAGAGCTATCTAGTTCCTATCTTCAAAAATAAAGGAGATCCACACAATTGTCAAAATTACAGGGGCATAAAACTAATGTCACACTGTCTTAAACTCTTCGAAAAAATAATGTAAAAAAGGTTAAGAGACATAAAAGAAATAGGAGAGACTCAGTTTGGCTTTAAGCCTGGAAGATCAACAACTGATGCAATCCACCCAATTAGGCAAATGAGTGAAAAATACAGGGAAATGAACAAAAAGCTACACATGGTCTTTCTCAATCTAGAAAAGGCCTTGGATAGAATTCCAAGAAAGCTTATCTGGTGGGGCCAACGCCAGACTGAAAAATATATAAGAACAATACGGAATATGTATATGGGCCATATAACAATGGTCCGTAGCACAACAGGTACTTCAGCAGGCATCACAATATCCGAGAGAGTTCATCAAGGGTCGGCTCTCAGCCCACTTTTCTTCATTACAGTAATAGATGTATTATCACAGTCTATACCTCAAACTGTCCTGTGGAATATGATATTTGCAGATGATATTGTGATACTTGCCGAATCCAAGGATGAAATGAAAGAAAGATTAGTGGGTTGGATAAATATCCTAGAAAATCACGGACTAAAAGTAAATAGAGAAAAGACGGAGTATATGGTGATAAGAGGAGATGAAACAGAGAGCAATATAAATGAATGGCAGATATCGGCAATTAAAAGCTGAAATATTTGGGCTCCACTATACAAACAAACGGCACAATAGAGTAAGAGATAAAGATTAAAATTAATTAAGGATTCTGGAGTGCTCTTTGACAAAAGAATCCCACACAAATTGAAGGGAAAAACAGTTCCATAGTACAACCAACTATTCTATATAGTTCGGAAACATGGCCAACCAAATAATCAGAAGAGAGAAGTCTACAAACTATGGAGATGAGAATTCTGAGGATGATTGCTGCGGTATCAAGTAAGGATAAAGTGCGAAGTACAAGAATACTAGAAAGTTTAAAGCTAGTGCCAATTAAGACTAAGATAATGGTAAACAGACTTAGGTGGTATGGGCATACAATGAGAAGGCCTATGAACTACATAGGAAATAAGGTTGAGAGTTTGGAAGTGATGGGTAAACGTAAAAGAGGAAGGCCAAAACTTCAATGGGGCCATAAAGTTAGAGCCAATATGAAGAAGTATAAATTAGATAAAAGAGATAGTATGAATAACATAAAGTGGAGAAAGATATTGAAGGAGCTTACCACCAAGAAAGGTGAAAGCTAAAGAGAAAAAAAAACAGTAAAATAAAATATTATTTCCGATCAAGTCTATAAAATCATTCTTTACATTATAATGGAAGTGGAGGTGTTAGCATCATTTAGGTAATTAATTCATTGCAATTATATATATTTAAATGGAATGGAAAATTCCTGATTTAAAGCTGCCAGATAGCATAAAAAAAATATAGCAAGTCAAAAAAAGAAGGATATACAGCAAGCCCGCAAGTCTAATTGATCTATATTTATTCTTGAGATGAAAATTAACGATACATTTTGTCAAAAATGTACCATTTTCCACTTTTTATACCCATCTTAGCGTTTAAGATGTAAGAAAGTAAAATTTCATTTTTTTCTTAGTTATAGTATATACTACCAAAAATATTTTGAGGGGGTCCGGTTGAAAATCGACTTTTTTGGTTGATTTGATATGGAATTTACCAAATATAAATTTATATATATTCGAAATTACCCTTGAATTTGCAGTTTAATGATATATATATATATATATCGATATATAACATTTAATTTTAAAAAATATCTTTGATTAAGTAAGAACTTTTGTAAAATTTTTAAGAAAATATAGAAATTTGCAATTCAAATTTAAATAAATTTATTTTATTTTCTTTAATATTTTACAATAATGTTTTTAATAAGTTTGAAGGGAGATATTAACATTAAATTAAAACATAACTTAGTTATGAATAATAAATTAAATATATATTATTTATATTGACTTAACAATTACGAGATGTCTGAATTAAGTAACCTACACACAAACTGATTGAAATCATGGTTATAACATTTTTTGAAACAAATTATTTGGATTGATAAGAATGATATATAATAACAAAAAGAGAAGGTTTAAATTAATAGATTATTGTTTTGGGACAATAAAAGACACACTTTCAGGCATTAAAGGATGTATATATTTCTTTATTTTATTTAATCCCCACCATATTTATTTCACAAAAAAATTATAATTTATGTCAAAATTTAGAAAATACATTAATTATGTATGTCATTACTCATTAATATAAAAAATATAAAATTAATTTCAATAGTGTTCATTTGAATTGAGATAATATTTGGATTAATTGCAAGCATTATCCTGAGTAATAGTTAGAAAAGGAAAAATATAGAATTTGTTTGTAGATAATAATCTAGCGAATTTAGCAGGAGAAGAAAAATAATCTGATATGACAAATTTTATATCAAAATAAAATCCTTATAAAAAACAAGAAGCGTCCAAATATCCGGCCAAATATTCACTGGTGGCAACCCCCTCAAAAACCTATACCCCCTCCCATAAATATGGCGACAATATTCTAACATTAGTGAATATAAGTTTTTAATTATAAATGTAATCCCTCAATTTCTTTAAAGAAATAACTTAAATTTTTAATACTCTACTAATAAACTATTAAAAAAAATTGCACATAATTTGATATGACAAATTTTATATCAAAACAAAATCCTTATAAAAAACAAGAAGCGTCCAAATATCTTCTGGTAGCAGACCCCTACATTATTAAATACAAGTTATTAATTATAAAGATAATCCCTTCATATATTTTTTAGAAAAAATAACTTAAATTTTCAAACTCTACTACAAACTATTAAAAAAATTGTAAATATAAAAAGGAATTTTTTTAGAGTATGAATTAGATTTAAAAAACCTTCCCCGTCGAATGTATTATTATATTATATATTATTTGGCATAGACATGAGTTAGCTGATAGAATATCTGACCCTTTTAAATTATAATTTAAAAATTTATCAGAAAATTATCCAGAAATAATGTAAATTATAATAAGCCTATATATATATTAAATAAATTTTGCCCTATTTTATCTAAAAATATATAGTGGATAACTCTCAATAAATTTACCATATACTCACCCACTAGTTTACCGTCTTAAATGCCTATCCTCTACCACCCTTCAAAAATTTGGAGGTATTATGGAACAATGAAATGGAGGTCTAAAAACTTTTAAATTTATATATATCCATTTTATTAATAAAAAAAGGTAATTAATGTGTATTACTAAACACATACTATAAGAATTTTTTTCTCATAAAATTAAAAAATCATTATAAAAATATCTTATCTAATAATATATTATTTTTGTATAATTTTATTTATATTATATATAATATTTAATTTTTCAACTAACGAGTAAACGCATTACGCGTTCCTTTTATTACACGAGCAATGGTAACGTAACGACTAAGGCGTTTCATTTTTTATTGTAACGTTTATTGTACTATGTCTAAATTATTAAAATTTACAAAAAATCTAAACCTTCAGTAAACAAAATATTTAAAACCCCAAAAACCTAACTGAACCAATATATATTTTTTTAACCCCGATCTTAAATCATAACTATAATATAGCAAAAATGATCTCTATTTTGATTATAAGATGGTTAGTAGCACGTGATCTCTTTCTACCACAAGGAACATTTATGAGGTGAATATTGAGTTCGACATTGTTCACTGCAATTCCAGCTTTTCAAAAAAGACTCGAATTCTGACAAAACAGCATTTACCCTATGTAAAAATTGAATGTTTATTTATCTAAAAAATATAAATAAATAAATTTATAAATTCTGAAAAAAATAAATAAGCTATTTTTATTGTAAAAATTAGTGCTCTAAATAATTTTTCGTCATTTAAATTTATTTTTTTAAAAAACATAATAGAAATTAATAATTTTTTTCGGTTATAGGTTGTAGCTGATATAATATGTTAGCAAAATGTAATAGCATATAATTAATTTTTTCAAAGATAAAATTAATAAAGGTGAAAAGTATAAAAATAGAATTTACGGAAAAGGATAAGGGATTAAAGAAAAGGAAGCTAGGAATGAGAAGGGAAGAGAGAAGGCATAGACATGGAGGGTTATTCGATGGAAGAGATAAAACATAGATAGTTAGAGCGAATAATAGCGGTAGCAAGTCTTTGTCGTAAGAAGAGGGATTCTTTAGGCTGAGGGGGTTTTTCATGAATCTTTTTGCCTAATTCTTTAAAAAAACATCGGGCTATGCTATCGAAGGTGGCGAGAATGGAGCAGGGGATGGATATGAATAATGAATAAGAAAGAAGGGTCTATGGAACTGTACTTGGTGATTTTTCAGGATTCTGTGAGGGCGAGGGCGTCGACGTTGTAATTAGATGGTGCATTTGGGTCGATGCAGGTGAAGTCCCAAACCACAGGAACTGACCCCTTGACCAAGGAATCAAGGACATTCTATTAGGTTGCTTTCCATCGGTTCTAAAATGCGGGTTGGCTCAAATCTAGATGGAATGCCTGCGGATTTGATAAACGACCTCGACAAAAGCGAGAATGGAGGCAATGTCTGCCCTTGCGATCGATACTGGTTTTGCAAGGTTTACATTGGAACAGAAGAACAATTTCGCTATTGAACCATAGTTCAGCGGAGAGCAACCGATCAAGGTTATTAGAGGGTATGATTTCCAGAAACTTGTAACCAGATCCTTGGTTCAATTGGTGAAAAACTGTGAGAACTTTATCGTGAAAGCTCGATTTTAGATAAGTGACGGAGCCTTCGTTGAGTGGAATATCCCAGTCTCTGTGAACAAGAGGAAGGTCGTGCAGTGTTTGGGATAACGTTACCAAATGGTCTGGGCATCAGCTAATAAGGGGTCAGGAAAGTGAGAAAGATGGCTAATGTGTGAGTCAGATAAAAGACAGGAGGCGATGAAACCACCAATGGAAAGAGTTATGGTGAGCGTAAGCCGACACCACCGACTTGCATGGAAGTGATGCTTGTATTGTAACCATGAATTATGGTTAAAGCGAAGATTAAAAATCTCTTCAGCAAGAGATAAGACGGAGGTTTTAAATGATTTTAGTGAATTGGGGAATTTAAAGATTGTGGTGGATCGAAGCTTTTTCGGAATGTATTAAAAGTTTTCGAGGAGAAAATAAGGAGAAGGGAGAAACTTAGAGATGTTTTTGAAATGAAGTAGGCTAGATAATGCATTATGGAAGAAGTGATTGATGGATTCTAGAACGCAAACTGGGGAACCAAAATGAGTGATGGATGAGAGCTCGGTTGTGTGGAAATTATGGGTGAACGAAGTGGAACAATGAAATGTGCAGATCTCGGTTTTTTGTTCATTGAGTGAGAGTCCAATTGCATGGGGTTTTGATGATAGCAAGTGCCTTTGCAACCTCGTTAGGGGGGGGGCGCAGAGTGTCTCGTCGTCAATGTACCAAGTGTGCAGAGAAAGATTATAGTTGGAAGAAATGTTTTTGACCATTTCCTTGATTCCTATGCAGGAATGTATCTAACCCAGAGGATCGCATTGTTGGATCCCTTTTGATGATGAAAATAAATAGTTATTGAATTGGAGATGAGATGGCATGGAATAGCAGAAGTGGAAGAATTGAAAAAAGGTTAGAAATGAGTGGTATATTTGTGGAAGAAAGTGAAAGCAGTTGAATAAATTAAAAAAAAAATTTATTAGGGTAATTTTAATGAAAAAACTAGTATATAATATTAAAGTATTATTTTATTCTCGTTTTTTTGTTATTTTTTTCTTTATTTTTTTCTGGAGTGGGGGGGGGGGGTTATTTCGGACATGTTTTATTTGCGAAAATTTATAAATTTTAGGGTTTTTCAAAACATTTAGGATACAGCCTAAAGGAGTTTGATATTTAGAAATATATCTATTATCTCATGCATGTTATATAAGGTGTAAATAATATTTATTAGATTTCTAACTGAATTTGCCAATCTAAATAAATGATAAATCTTAATGAGATTATTTTAGGTTACCTCCAAAAATCTGCAAATTCCAAAAGTTTCAAAACTCTCAGAAATTTTAAAATTTTAGCGAAGTCGTATGTTAAATTTTTGAAATTTTCTAGAAATATATTTTATTATTTTTATTTTTTTAAAAAAATATTTATTTACTTATTTATACTAAAGTTTTCGATATTTGCAAATATTAAAAAAATCAAATTTTGAACACAGCCTTAGTTTTATATATATTTATTATATTACATCATGTATATTATTTCAGAAATTATTATCAAAAGTGTAGTAGTATTGTTAAAAGCACTATTTGGGTCTATTTTTTAAAAACGGCCCGATTAATATTTTGACCAAAATAATATAACGCCAAGCCTGGAAATTTTGCTCATAGAATGCAGAACGGTTTGGCCCTCTATTTGATAAACCTCGAGGCTTATATAATATTATTTTGTCTAAAATCTTAATTTGGTCATAAAAATCGATCCCAAATCGGGGTTTTAACAACACTAAAGTGTTAACTTATTAATTATTCATATTCGAATTTCACTTTTTAAATCTTACAAATGAGTTGGGTCTTTCGATATGGATAATTAATAATACACCAACTATTTCAAGAGTAATATGTTAAATTTGGTTAATTTGCGATTACCTAATTTCGCCGGGAGAATGATCAGATTCATCTAATTGAAGGTCAGGTGATCTTTGTTCACAGAATTCCTAAAATATTAATGATTTTTATAATTATTTTTTTAAAAAAAAGTATTCCAAAAATCTTTTATTACCCTTTAATCTCTAAGTTATCATTCATTCCTTTATTAAAACTTTAAAGAGTCACCTTAACCGTCCTAAACCAATAAAATCAATTAAATTAGCAATAAAATAAAATATTTTGTTGTGTATTCTTATTAGGATGGAATATATAAAATGAGATTAACAAATAGCCCAAAAACAAAATAGAAAAAATAAATATATATTTTAGTTTTTTTTTTGATAATTTAGTTTTTCTTTAATTTTATGATATTGAATACCTTACCCTAGTGTTGTTAAATGGCCTGATTTGGGTCTATTTTTTATAAAATTCCCCGATTTGAAACTTTAGCCAAAATAATATTATTTAAGCCTCGAGATTTGCCAAATAGAGATCCAAACCTTTCTGCCACTTTAGCAAGATCTTCAGGCTTAAATAAAATTATTTTCCTTAGTCCGCTTTCAAAAATCGAACCAAATCCGGTCATTTAACAGCACTAACCATATCCTATAAATTTCATACAATTTTCTCTATTCCGTTTTTTTATATATAAAAGAAATTAGATTTTTAAAAATTAACTCAATATAGCTAGAAAAATATTGGCCTATGCCTCAAGATTATGCCAATAGATGTTCAAACCTTTGTTACATCGATAACCAAAATCTTCAGGCTTGCATAATATATTTTTTTGGATAAAATAGTTAGTTAGCCAGCTAAAATCGAGCCGTTTAACAAAACTGGATCCATAAATGAGATATAAATGAAATATTTTACTTGTGCATAAGCCATAAAGAAGACTTGATCTGAGGTTATGTTTTTAGATCCGAATATATAGGTAGTCTCGTTTTTATATTTTAGATAAGCACGCATAGCCTAGAAAAATTTAATTAAGACATTATTTTCTATATATAATTGAAAAATAAAATGTGTATTATATAGAGCTAAGTTTTAAAACAAATCTTATGAGGTTTATTAACAACCTTTCAAAATCTTCTAGTATTTAACATAAAAATTTACACAACCTTTAACTTTGAATGGAACAAAGAGTTTTGAGTTTAAAGAGATTTATATTTAAAATAACATTTTTTAAATTATTATTAACATGTTAAGCAAATGCTAACGTATATTACTTGATACGCTAATTTTATTGAGCCAATATCAGCTATATTTTCTGAAAGTTGAATATGTCCTTTCATCTTTTTGAAAATAAATTTAAAAATTTAATAACAATTATAATATATTTACCCTTAATTTTCCATTTAATAAATAAGAGTCATATTTGTGTACAATGCATTTCATTTTCTCTCTAATAAGTTGCATAGTTGTAGGAGTTAACCATTCTCCTACACCATTTTCATCGTGCTCTATTCCTATTTGACTTGAATTTTAAATTGAGTTAAATCTTATTACCAAATGCATCTAAACTGTGAAACATTTCATGAGCTAATGAGTTGCCTAATGTCCCATAAATAAATGGTCTTATTAAAAAAATTATAATAAGAAAATCATCACATAAATTTTATGGTTTACATGCTATTTCCTGATTTTATCGTAGAATCAATGACCTGATAGCAAATATCTTTTAATAAATATTATAATTTAGTAATGTTAATAATATTAATTAAAATATAAAAAAAATTATTTAAAATTATAATATTAATTTAAGTATAAAATAGTATAACTAAATTTAAATTATTTCTGTGCGAGATATAAATGGCCCTTATAGAAAGTGACACGCAGCGCAAACGTTTTAATATAAAGCAAAAATAAATAATTTTACAAATAAAAAATATCAAAAAATTTTGTGGTATATATAAAATTGTTATATTTTTATTTTTATTTTTAGTATTATTTTATTTATTTTAGTTTTTAATGTCTTACGGCAATAACAAAAATATCATATTCACGATTTATAATTAAGTTTTGCTTAACTTAAATTCAGTTTATTTCCATTGTTTAAATTAAATTTTATTATTGCGTAACTTAGAATGATTGATTATTTACATAGATTTATTTAAACATATTAAAATTGTTGACAAAGAGAAATATATAAAGACAGTCATGTATTATTCACGATGAAGTGATACATATATTTTGAAACATGATTTAAAGACTTATTTATATAATTAAAACCTGACTTGATGACAATTAGAATGTTTTAAATACATTATTCTCCAACACCAAAATCTCATATAATAAAAATTAATGTGTTAAATACATTATTCTCCATCCACACAAAAATATCTCTCTATATAAAAAATAATGAGTTAAAATGAATAAGGTTAAGATTAAAAAAAATTACACAAAGCGGAGGTTATAAATAAAACAATTAAATATAATTAAATTAAAATAACATTCTTCTCACAAAATTTTTTTATAACAGCGTTGTATAAATTTTCTTAATTTTAAAGGATATCCTTATTTTTCTTGATCCTTGAATATTCTACTCTATAAATCATCTCATTTATAATTCAAATATTTATCAAAAAAAAATATATATAATAAAGTATGCGTATTATTTATAATTATATAAATGATTATTTATAAATTATGTGATGTATATATTTTGCGTAATGTTAATTATTGTAAATTTGTTTTTATACTCATGATATAATCCTTGTACCTTATGGGTATATTGTTCTCTTTCTATCTGGCCTAGATGCGTTAGTCAACAGATTTTTATTTTGTGTTGTTTATATCTTTTTAAACATTTTCCTCCTTGTAAAAATGTAGTGGGCAATGAGTTTTGTACATCTGTAACATTTTATCGGCAAGATATCTCTTTTTTTAAAGCTGATCAAGATATCTCCTCAATACTCCACTTTTTGTGTCGATTTGATATAAAAAATTGCTTTCTTTATTTATGATGATACGTCCCATTTGTTTTATCCAAATATCTCACCAAATTTTGTATTCAATATTCATTGTTCTGTTTGTCGGTAGAATTTTAAGCGTGATTTTCTCATTATATTATAAATATTTTAACAAATCCCATTTAGTTCTCATGTCTTGACATTAATTTTCTTGAATGAATGCCTCTCTATTATTAATTGTGTTTCTATAATTAAATAAAGATTTTTCAAGAGAAATATCTAAATCTATACTTTCATCTTTTCATCTATATCTAAAAGGTTCTGACCATCCTTTTAACTTGAATAAGAAAGTGATGTATGTTGTGGTCTCCACAAAATTTTTTAAACAATTAACTTGTAAAGTAAAAGCCATTATCCGTGATATTTGTTATGGCATACCAAATAAGAAAAACGATTTTAAGTAATTCAATTTGAATAACACTTTTTAAACTAACAAAAATCTTTCAAACCCAAAATTTATATATTTTAAACAATATTTTTTATTTTTCCAAGTTATTATTCAAAGTGAATTTGTATATATTATAAAAGCAAACAAATAATTTTTTTACTTAAAGCGTTTGGCCTCATGCGTTTCTAACAGATAAAGGAATTAAAACGCAAAATTATGATTGTGAAAAGAAATTCTTTCCCCTATCCATAATCAATTTAAAGTTCCAATATATTCTTTTCCCTACTTATTGGTCCCTTGATTTTGCAATAAGTTAACTTATATTATTAATCTTTTAATTTATTCAATATCATAAAACTGGAAATCATGAGTAGATATGAAAAATATGATTTGTCTAGAAGATGTCTAATTTACATTAATGAAACAATAGTAGTTAAATTTACAAATTTGGTTTTTCCCAGAATCGTAGTCTGCGTTATGATGATAGGCCATTAGATCGCTTTTATAATATCTATTATATCTGTTAAAAATAAACATTTAGATAATTTTTATTCCGTCTGACCTTTTACTCTTCACTCACAGTTAGCGCAAATTTTCGAGGCAAAATAAGAAAGAAAGAAATATATAATATTTAGTTTATTTGCATACTTCCCCGCGAAATCGCGCTAAATGTTGATAAAGAGTTTTATATTATTATTTTAGGGTTAGAAAATTTTTGAATAATTTTTCTAATATCTGAGATTGGTATTTTTGTTATTGTTACAGCAACGCGAAGATATAGCTATATCCTAAAAATTAATTTGATATAAATTTTACCAAAGTAAAGATGTTAAATTTCGCGATTTTCAATTTCCTTAGAGAAAAGATTTTTTTTTATCTCATCTATTTCATATTACCTAAATATAAAGTTCGCTTTATATTTCAAAAAATAAAAAAAATAAAAATGATTTTGTTCTACGTGAAAACGATGTCGGTAAATTTAGCTTCACATGAAAAAAAATATTTATAGTTTAAGAGAATTTAATTAGGGCGTAGGCTGGGTGCTTTCTAGGGAATTGCAAGAGTATCATGCTAAATTTCTCAATTTTGAAATTCATGACGGAAATATTATTTACTTTATCTGTTTAATATTGTCAAATGCATATGTATGAGCCAGAATTTGGTTATTTTTAAAAATATATACATATAGTTATACATGCAACCCAAATTATTTTTTCAAAAATACCGACGAATGTGATGTAACATATAGTCTGGATATTTTGTGCCGAAAAGGAGATCGGCATTTATTATTGTTAATAAAAGTATAAATATTTGAAATTATTGGCATTATTTTCGAATACGATACGTGTATCTTAATATTATCCAATTTTTATGATTAATATACTTTATAAATCTCAATGATATAAAATATAAATGTATTTTTATACTAAATTTTAAGAAGGTTAAAATAAAATACTTATGTACTTTTGATTGACTGTCATATTAAGAATTTGTGCATAGTGTAATCGTGTCAATGTAAAAATATTTTTATTGAAGTCAAGAGGATCAATTTCAACCTAGATTATCAAAAAACATATAAATATTTTAGAGATAATATGTTAGAAATTTAAAGTAAAAATATTACATTAAATTAAACTCATATTGAAAGAGAGTATAAATTATTTTCATAATATATATAGCATAAATAATATATTTATGTAATACTGCAAAGTCCTCATCAACTATTGTTTTGGGTTGATCTGTGGTAAACTTGATCTTTTCAACCTAATAATTTTATTCATTTTTGACGATATAATATAATATAGAGAAGAAAAATATTTATTTTATTTCTAAATTTTTTTAATAATTTCTAAAATGTATAATCTAATAATAATTTAAATTGTGTTTAACAATTAAAATATAAAACTCTTAATCGAAATATTCTTTTATAGTTTAGATTTTTTTGGAATAATAACCAAATAGCTCACAATTTTAAATTAATCAAATCGTCACTCCTAAGTCATCGCTTATAAAATAAAGATTGAAATTTTAATAAGCCTTAGTAATAAGTAATCTGTGTTTAAAATGAATTGGAAGAGTAAATCATATATATATATAAGACTTAATATCAAATATGTATTTCTGAGCAATTCATTTTTTAGCTTATTTTTTAATTTGAGTATTAAGAAATAGTGTGCTCATTCACAATTTATTTTATCTAAAAATTAAGAATTTTTTCAGAGTGTTTAGGGTTTTATCTGGGGGGATATTTCAGTTTTCTGAGAGATTAAATAGAAGCCAATTAATATTAACCATAAAAAGTTTCAAAATATCTTTATAAACTTATTTCGCAAGCCTATGATTAAAATAAAACATTTTTTTTAACATAAGGTTTGTGTGTTTGGAAATGTATAAAGAAGTTACTTTGTTGATTAGAGCTTTTCTGGAGAATGAATCTAGCCATACTATACCTTTTAGTTCAGATACGAATGTTTTTACCATCTCCTTGAATATATTACCTGTCTTTTAAAAGAAATTAAACAGATTAAAATTATAAACAAATATAGAGATCTCTATACATGTGAAAATATGAATGAAATATATGGTTGCAACTTATATATCTCGCCGAAAATCCGCGTGAATTTAATATATATGAATTAAAATCACTAAGAAAGAAAGAAAGAAAGAAATGATATTCGATGTTGCAGTTCCCGTTTATTTTCAATATTAAATAAATTTTTTTAAAAAATAACAATATTTATAAATTATCTTAATTGACTCTATTTTACGATTAAAAAAAAATATAAAAATAAAATATTTTTAACAAATTACTTGTATAAATTATTATAAATCAATCAGAAAATACTCTCTAAATTGAATATAGGATGTAATTAATAAATATTTTAAAAAATAACGTTTTTCAAGTTTATTAGCATTATAAATAAACAAAGTTTGGAGAAATGCTCTTCAAAATAAAAAAAATCTTCGAAGATTATGATCTCTGAAGATTTTTTTAAAGAAGATTTATTTTTCGCTCAAACAAGTTAGATGATCAAATTTTATCTAAAATTTAATTTTGTTTTTTTTTGTAGAAAATCTTTTATTAGTAAATCTTTTGTGATTTTAATGCTTAAAAAATATTCCATAAAATAACAAATTCTTACATAATGATCTTCTCCAATTTTATGAATCTTCTCAAAGATTTATTGCTAAAAAATATGGGTAAAAAAAAATCTCCAAAAAATCTTTTAAGATTATTTTTTTCCCCAAACTCTGTAAATAAGTATATAATATTAATATTGTTTACTAAGGACACCTTTTCCTCATTATATACTTCTTCTAGATACATACTTGTAATCGCGTTTGGGAAAAACTTCTCCGTTTGATCAAAACAATAGGTTCTCATAGGTTTATTGTATTCCGAATGGGCGACAAAATCGGAAACTTTGTTATAGAAGGCTTGATATTTGTGGGGCAAAAATAATATCCACTCGCGGAGAACAGAATACATCAAATAATCGTTGACTGCTCTAAAATGCCCAAAGAGAGAATTATGTAACAATTATATATATATATGTGTTTTAAGTTTAAATTTTTGTTAACTTGAAAAAATGGGTATTGCGACGATTAGAGGATATCAAATTTTGTAATCTTTCGAAATATTCAATGTTTTTTATTAAAACTATGGTTTGAGGATTGAACGAAGAAAGACCGTAGGATGAAAATATATTGGCTAAATACACTGACCAATCCATCTAAAGGTTTAATATATTATATAAGTTGATAGGCGTTTTTTAGACATGTTGGATTGAAAGGATATACAATGTAAAAATTTTATTAATTTGGTGAAAATTTATGAACTATACTTTTATAATAATACTATATAATACTTTGACAAAAAAAAACGTTTTAAAAAAACAGAGAAGAATTTTTAAAACAATATTTAAAAAAGCATTACGAAAGGAAATCTTTGATTTAAATCGTCTACGTATAAAAGTTTATCTCCGAGGATGTCACCCATTCTTTTATCGATTTCTATAAACTAAAAAAAATTTAAATTTAAATTATTTATGTTTTTTACATTACTTGACTTATATTCCGTTCGAGCTCAATAACCATGTCTATTTCATCGGGATTTAATTTTAGAAAATGGCTCAATGTTTTATTCACGTATTTTTTGTATAATCCTAAATTAGTTGGGTCGGAATATTGTTCGTAATTAATACTAGTAATGCCAGATTTAATAGATATATAGAATTCATTGGACTCCATTGATACAACTCCAACATTTATCAAAGCAGATGATATGCCCAATTGTGATAAAAGTCTTTGGAAAGGGAAACATAATGCAGTTGCTATTGTTTTCCCAGATTTTACTCGACAACCTTTGACATTTAAATTAATGTGATCGATCATATCTCGTCTAATGGAGTCATATTTCTTGGCCTTTAAATATTGTGAAACATTTTCCCATATATCTCCTGCGAATATATTCTTGTAAACGTAGTTGTAATTTGATGTAAAGATCTTGTTCGGTAACACAAATCTTTTCATGCATGACTGATGATATCTGGCAGCATTTTGTTTAAAACTGGAATTAAGCCGATATGAATCGTTTGCCACTGAGCATGTAATTTTGTTTCAGCATATAATATTTATATTTATTAAATATTTAGAAATTGAATATGAGCCAAAAATTATTCTAAAATGTAATATCATTTATTATATTGATAATTTTCAAAGTTCAAATTTTGTGATAATTAATTTTTAATCTTAGATAATATGCATATTTTTAAACTATTGGTTCTAATCTAAAGAAATTTTAAAATTGCACTTAACCCATGATTATTATATAGGCTTGACCAAGATTTTCCTCAAATGAGAGGAAGAACCTTTGAATGGACTATCCTTCAATATATTTTGTTTGATATCTTTAAACCAATTTTCGCTTTCGGGTTAATTTATTTAAAAAAAAAATCATTTTATTCGTCATATATGGCATAAAGATTTAGCTATCTATTAGCAAAATCTTGAGGTTTGGTCAAGATCATTCTGCCTAATATATTGAGTTATGTTATCCTACTAGATGACACTAAAACAATTATTTAAAAGATTATTCTAAATTATATTTTAATCTTTTTATTTGTTGATTTGCAAGAATAGTATAAAAAAAAATTATTTTTGCGAAAAATATGGATATAGAACACTATAATATTCAGCCGAAGCAATGTTGGTATTATAATTAAATCTTAAATATTATAGGATGATGGAAAAAGATAACTTACTTAAATAATTATGAAGCATGTTATTACTAATTTGCGTAATTTGATCACTTTTAGATTCCAACGATGTGACGGACTCTTTTGTTTGCCATATGGAACAAGAAAAAGCATAAAAATCTTCGCAAGGATTTATGCTGTCATTAAAAGTATCTTCCTTTAAGCCACTTTTAGTAAAACATTTTGGTTGAAATTTAAAATATTAAAATGAGAATAATATTTTCTTAAATTTTATAGCGTATGATGTAAAAAATAATTTTAAATGGCTTGGAAAACAATTTACATAAAAAATATTGTACAATTTATACCTTTCAACTAAATTAAACACAAAAAATAACATTTTTAAAGTAAATCTAATTTGAGAATTTTAAAATACAACCAGAAATTAATAAATATGATTTAAAGCAGCTTGTGATGAGAAATACTGTAATATATTTCTGGAAATTTCAAGAAGAACTTTGAAAAAATATTTCTCAATTTAAATAAAGGTGCGTTGATATCTCATTTTAATATAGTTTTTGTGTTGGCAAATACTATTTTTTTTCAACTTAAAATAATTTTTTTTGGTGCTTCTTATAAATGTTTAAAAATACGATTTTATCGGAAATGTGTTCCACATCTCTATGAATTTCAGATATACTTGCCATTAAAACATTAGTCATTTAAAATTTTTATAATATTTTAATCACATCCACATAATTCTTTTCATAATAATTAGAAATATATTCTTTAATTTTTTAAGCACAACAGACCTTATAAATAAAATCTATAAAGGTATATATCTTTTAAGTAATAAAAAAAATAAACATACTTTTAGTGTAGTTAAACGGCTCGATTTAAGCTTAGACATTTAGGAATCAACTTAAAATACTGGCGTAAATTTTTAAGGCCTTTATTTTTTTACTGGGCATTTTAATATTATTTTTTAAAAGTTGAACATATTAAATTTGTTCACCCTATTACCTTCCTACATACTTAAAAATAAGAAAATAATCTTTTATGCATAAAAAATGCATTGATATTTAAAATATAACAATTCCTTAACTTTAGCACCTATTTAAAATTTAATATGATTGTTCAAGAAGTTTACGATTAAATTAAAAAGGTCTTATTTGATTAAGAGGTAGAACATTAAGATAAAGAAAGAGCTAAACACCAGAATAAGTGTTAGACAGGGATAAAGAAAAAAAAATATTATTTATTATAATTAAGAATAATTCAAATTTGTTTATTCAAAATGATTTTAAAAATGGAAGTTTTACACTGGTTATACCTGGTAATCCCTTAACTTTAGCATCTAGTGGGAAGATAAAAATATATTTTTTTAAAATTTAATATTATTATTCAACAAGTTTGCGATTAAATTAGAATGTATTAATTATAAAAATATTATTAAATACTCTCGAGGAAATCTGATTGTTAAATTAAAGAAAATGTGTAAACATTATGGAAAATATGCATACAGTCAAAGCTTAATTTGGTCATGGCTGAGACTAAGATTTCTGTCCAACTTAAACAGTTTCCCAATTTAGCAAGTTTTTTTTTTAAAGAAAGACATTTTACACATCTGTTAAATTCAAAGTTTAGCAAAAAGAGAGAGATTATGTTCAGCCTAATAATATTCACAATATGAAAATAATTCAACTTTAATTATCCCCTAAGTGGCATAATAGCTTAAAAAATTTGTATTCTGGAATAAGATATTTTTCATATTCTTCACATTTGCCTTATTAATTCCAATGATATTTGCTTTATAAAAATTAAATGAATCTAAGGTTATTTAATATTTCAATTTGGGCGCTGAAGATAGTTCTTTCTATTAACCTGTTGATAATTTTTACCATGGTCTATTACGAAAAACTTTCCCTCCTCTTTTGATTATACTAACACCATCAAAAAAAACATTTTTGATAAATTTTTAAATTTTGATTTTAAAAACCAATTATTTTAGAAGAATTCTACTTGTCTAGTAATATGTCTCTTCCTTCTAAATGTATTAATTGTTCTTTATTTGATTTAAAGGGGACACCATTTTTTACATTGTAGATATTTCAAAGATGCTCACGGCATACAAGTAATTTAATCTCAAAAGCTCTTAAAAGGGCCAGCATCCCAAATAACATAGGCCCAATGAAACTTTAAATATTTTAATTTTTACGAAAATATTTTTTGTTAAAGAATAAAAAAATATATAATATAAAAAAAAAAAAAATTATATCAAAATTATTTTTAAATTTGTTATCGTGTTTTTCTTGAATAAAAAATATTTACGAAAATAAAAATAAAAAAAATTTAACGAAAAAATGGTAGAATTGAGAAATGAAAGACTCTCGATTAGGTTAAATGATTGATAGTTATGATTTGTAGTTATAACTGAAATCCTTGCTAGTTTAAAATTGAATCAAATTATTATTCTTTACTATATAATTATATATAATCTTATTTTTTTTATAAAAAATATACCATTTATATTTCCTAAGATAAATTGCATAATTTCAATATTTTTTATAAAGTAAATAATTTGTATAAAAATGGAAATATTTAAATTAAAGAGCCTAAATAATCTTTGGCAATTTTCAAAAGTTAGGTTAAAATATATTTTGAAGAAAAAGGGAACATATTGATAAACCTAAAAAATATCAACAATTTAATTCTTATTAAATTTTACAAAAAATTTGTTGTTTAATATTTTATTGTAATGATATTTTTATTTTACATGTTTTAAATATATGGTCTAGCCTGGGTAAACCGGATGACACGCCATTTTGTAAAAAGAAAAAAAATTTATGAAAGAAAACCAAAATGGCGTATTATCAGCTGATTTGTATTAAACGATGCTTCAAAAATGCATTTTAATTATCCGGTAATTTTATTATATACCATTGAGAAGGATTCACTTAATTAAAATAGACAGAAATGAACAAAAAATTATTAATTACCTCCATTCTTTCCTTTTACTTTTTTTTTTAAAAAAAAGAACTAATATAACGTGTAATATTTTCTCTAAATGGAAGCTAATTTTGAAAAATAAAATAACATTTTAAATCCACTAGAAAAAAAAACTTAACAAATAATCAGAAATAAATTAGATTTCTATTTTCTCGATTTAAATTATATTATAAAAAATGGGGAATTCAAAATATAATTCACCTGAAATTATAAATTTTAATATAAATAAAAGAAAGACAATTTTAATGATAACAGGGAAATAATATATAATTAGAGATTAAATAAAATAATTAAAATAAATTTAACTTTGGGCTAATAGATCAACCACAAACAAGCACATCAGAATTAGAAAATTTAATTTAGAATTCATTGTATAAAATTTTTTAAAGGAATATTTCAATTTTTACGAAAATACTTCATTTTTTTATTTTAAAAAACAAAATTTATAAATTTAAAAAATAAAAATTATATCAAAATTATGTCTGAATTTGTTTTTGTGTTTATCGAGCAGAAAAAAAGCATCCTATATTATACAAAAAAATAACAAAACAATAAAATTAAAAATAATCATCATTTTCTAACTATCTATCTATCTTTCTTTCAAAGGGGGGGGGAAGTGGGTAAAAGTATCTTGAGGTATAAAGGATAAATCTGGAGCTCGTTGCCTAAAAATAAAAACCTTTTTTTTTTTACTTCCACGAATAAGTTAAATTCTAGGACGAGATCTCTGACCAAAATTATAATTTTTAAGTTTCAATTCACTACTTTGGGACTTGAATGACAGTTGAGATTATGATTGAGTAATCAATTTTATCTAAGGTCAATTAATCAGGAGGGGACCCTTACTCTGAACCTAGAAATTCAGGATATTCGATCAAGGAATTTGCTAAGAGTTTTGACACAGGTGATTTGTACACGTATAAAATATATGGCTAGGTATGTTGAAGAAATTTATCATGGCAATATTTTATTTTTTTAAAAGAAGAACAAATATGTGTCTTTAACAATACGAGTTTAACTAAGTAAATTTTATTTTTTTTCTAGAAGTTTGGTCTTGTTAACTTATCGACATAAAGAAATTCGGAAATAAAGCGTTTGCTTCCTTTGAGTAGATAGTTTATCTCTTTGCCTTGACATCTTAAGGGTAAACAGTATGAATTATATTTAGAATAATTCATCAATTCTTAAGATGGAAAGAGGTGCGAGCGATGATTATTTTGATCTCCTATCTTACCCTGCATTCACAGTCAGCGCAAATTTTCGGCTAATTATACATAAATACAGCATTTTTTGTATACTTGGCCACGAATTCATGCTAACTATAAATGTATGGTTAAGCTAATTATAACCCGCTAGCTAAGAATTTTGTCTGCATTGATTTTTTTTTAGCTAGATCCTTCAACACATATCTATCTTTGCTCTCTCGATCGGATGAATTTATAAAAATTAAAAAACAATTCTACCCTCAGAATATATCCTTTTGTTGTCAATCAATATAAGAGGGTTTTTAGAAAATGTTGCCAACTCCTTTATAAAAAGTTGAGAAAGAAAATAAAATTCTCACGCGAAGTAGTGACCCTGGATTTTAAATTTAGCAATATATAATCTACTCTACCTTATTCATTTTTATTTATAATAATATTTTTGAATATTATAAATATCTTAGTAAAGGAGAGCGGCCTTCAGTTGGAAGGAGACTTTAAGTTAGTGGAGGGTCATCATCGCAGAGTAATGGATTTGTGAATGTTAATTTATTATATTTTGTATACTAGTAAACTAAATATCTATATTTTAACGTGGTCAAAAGTTTATAAAATAAATACTAGCTATTGTTTTTTAGATATTTTAAAATAGTAGTAATTAATAAACTAATAAAATATTTTCTTTTTTATTGAATTAAAATTAATTAAGTTCGCTTAAGATCAAGCCAACTCTAACATGCGCTTTAAAAAATATTTCCTAATCAGAAATGGTTTATAAAAAATATTTAACAGGGGTTTCTTTCCGAGATGTGGAAATGGACTTTGAGCTTCAGGGCACATATATAACGTATTTAAACATTATATGAAATTCTAATAAATATAAAAATATTCAGATTCGATTTTATTTTATCATTATAATAAAGAGAGAGAAATAATCATTAACCCTTTATTGCTTTTCCTTGAAAATAATTTACTACTTTATTGCGAAAATTTGATAATGATCTAGCTCTGCATTTATTTAATATAAAATAAAAAAACATTATATAATTTTATTTTTTAATATCTGTAAACAAAAAAAAATGAACAAAAACCGGAAATAATTGTTTTTTTTAGTTTAACGAAAATTAATTTTTTATATAAAAATTAGCTAAGCTATATAGTATATCAGAGATTTGCAGAGGTACCATTTGCACGACAAGGCCCCGATTTTTTTTTCAAAAATTATTTGCGCTCGGCCCGGTCCGAGTTTTATATTTTAAGGCCCTTTCCGGCCCGGATTTTTTTCTAAAAAAAATTTTCAGGCCCGGCCCATTTAAAAAAAAATATATTATATTTATTTTTGATTTTTATAGCTAATAATGGCGATTTCAAATATTTGGTTTTAAAATATACGGCCCGGCCCGATTTTTTTTGAAAAAATATTTTCAGACCCGGCCCTGGTATATTTTAAAAAAAAAATAAGGCTCGGCCTGGTTAGATGAAGGATAAAATATATTGCTTTAAGAATTAATACTTTTATTATAGACCCATTATAATACAATGATATTGCGGATCATGACCAAATATATATATATTGCAAACAAATCATAAATAATTTTCCAAATTAAAACTTTCTTTTAAAAGGATTAGACATTCTCAGCAAATTCATATTCATACCAAATGAGGAGGTTTTTGATCGAATTCATGGTTTAAAAAATAACTCTTTTTATATTCACAATATTTTGATGGTTCGCATATTAGAGCTCAAATAATTTAAGTTATTCTTTTTTAAAATTTATGAAAGGAGTACTTGTATAATTTTAAAAGATAATGGAAAAACAGAGTTAGGCCCAGGTTTTGGTTTCGTTCACATCCATATAAAATTCTGTTATGTGGACGCTGTATATATTAAATTTATCCGCCCTGCCGACCTGTCCTACAATTCGAGTTCAAAAAATCTGATCATATTTAATCTTTATTAGAATATCTCTCGTTGCCATATTTGTGTTTATTCGTATTAATGGTGGATTAATAAGATTCAGGCCCATGTAAACAGGTAGGGGGAAGGCATATTTCAAGATAAATTATATATATTTTTTTAGTACATAATTTTTTATATTTAATTATTTTTATATTCTTCGCCGCGATTTCACATTTGTTCCTAATGAGTAATTATATGATAGGTGTAAATAAAATGTCTTATACAAAATTAAATCTAAGATTAAGAGACATATGCCCCTTTATAAAGTGGAATGTGTTTATTATAGAAAACAATATAAAAATTGACCGCTCTCATCATATACTCTTTATTAGTTTCATTTTGTGATGAGAGGTGGTTTATTTAAAAACGTTAACATAACACAGTAAATATGAATAAATAATTGTGTAGAATAAATAATAAATCATTATCAAGCTATGCAATCTAAATGAAGTATGCAAAAACCCAAAACCATCAATCTAACAATGTTTTATTAATAAGAGGGTAAAAAAAATTTAAAAATTCAAATATTTGATTCATCAGCACGCGAAGGAGAAATCTCTAGTTGAACCGTCATTATTAACGAATAAGCTACCATGTATTAGGCAACTATAATTTATTGTGATAAAAAATAATTGCATATTTATTACAGATTTATTCAACAAAATATTATTTAGAATAAATGAATTCAATAAATATTAAAAGTGTACATATCATTATATATTATTTATATTTTTGACCTTATTTTATAAATCATATTTATTATAGTATTTAAAATTCATATTAATATCAAATATATCCTGGTTTAATATTCTATTAAGCACAGGGGCAGACTGGCCATAAGACGAAGTAGGCATTTTGCCAACGAGGCCGCGTGAAAATATCGATTTTTAAAGCCTATAAGAGGAAAATATCAAATAAGAGGCCGATTAGAAAAAAATAATAGTATTATGTTCACATTTCTCTTATTATTTATTTATTTTTAATGATATCTCTATTATTTGTATAACACATTATTTGAGAATTATCATTTTAATGCATAAAATATCAATAACATCGCTTGAGGCTACCATGTGTTTCTTTGTTTTTTTTCAAATGAAGTGAAAACGTTTCCGTTTGAATAGAGTGAAAGCTAAGTTTTGATTAATTTATTACATTACATTTTTATACATTGATTTATTGTAGAAATAATAGAACCAACATTTATGATTATTTCTTGTTCTTAATTCATTGAAATTAAATAAAACCCAGTTATAAAATTTTAATAAAATAAATTTTTGATCAATTTGATTTTCTAATGTTTTTTTTTTTTAAATTATTTTATTACTAAACGAACACAGATTTTTAAAATCTTACCTAATATTTGGATTACAACTATTTACTTATCATTTGCATAAATTTTCAGTAAAATTTATTGTACATATAATGAACTTTATACAACTATTTTTACACTTATTTTATATGATCATTAAATTGAGATATATGTAAAATATCAAAAGTAAACAACTTATTTATATTTCATAACTAGTAATGTTTTTTTATAATTAATTTTATAAAAATATTTATTTGAATTTCCAGTTCAAATCTTGATTTTTTTAGACATAAGTTATAAATTACTTATAGTATATGTTTTATGTTATGAAAAGATAACCTAACATGATGACTTTATTGCCTTATATTAAAATAAAATTCTAAAAAAATTTATATTAAATTTAATTTTACACTTATCTTGTTTATATTTATAATGAGTAAATGTACACAATGTATTATTTTTAGTAATTGATATATTTTTAAATATCATGCTTATAAATGCCAAAAGGTAATTTAAAGGTTGAGCTGAAAAATTAAGAGAAAAATGCTGGTCGTCTCAAAGTAGCTGGTGCTGATCCAAAACAAATTAAATTATCTATCTGTGATAAATCAATAACAAGTATATCTAATACTATTACTTCATGTTAAAAAAACTATTTTTTTAGGAATATCAACAATTGCCTCTCATTTACATCTACCTGAAACAACTACATTGTCTGCAACATCTTCATTTATTATTGCATAAGTTCAATCATTGCTAAACCCACCTAAAACTATATTATCCGCCATTACAGCAGATAAATCATTCACATACCCAGAAAATACATTATTTCCAGTTACAGCAATTCCATCTTTATTATCCTCATACTTGTCAGAAGGAACTACATCAATAATGTTCAGATATTTTACAAAATGGATTATTGATATCGGAAACAATTTCACCGTGGATATGAATATTAACGTCTCATTCATCTGACAATTTCATTATCTATTCTTATAAAGCCCTCCCTTCCCTTCCCTGATATATCTGATTAAATCGGTTATAACAAGATGGACCTCTTTATGAAATTAATAGCCTTATTACGGAGAATAGCCAATTTGACGAATCTTGTGATAAATCCAAATCGCAGAGATTTACAGATAATGACAAGTCGTTCATAGATATTTTGTATGGTTAGAGTTAATTGAAAAATATAATTTATTTATATTATTTTTCAATTTTAGAATATTTGGGATACTTCATACTCACTATAATTATTATAATATAATAAACCTAAAAAATGCTTTAAATAATTTTAAGTTTTGTAAACCACTTATTAATGCAATCCTGCAAAACATAGATAAAAGGCCTACAGTTGAAATATTGCTTATAATTTATGTTTTGTTTATATTTATTTTCAATAGATTAGAACACATCTGCAAAGAAGATTATTTTTTAAGAACAATAATTCGCCCTCTATTTAAATATTAGAGGTCAACGATTGAAAAAAAATATTTTGACACAAAAAACGTAGACTTTTATTTCTCACATACCATATTTTGATAAAGATAAAAAAATTTGATGAGGATCTGAATGAAGATTCCTTTGAAGATGATCGCTTTTTTAAAAATAAGTATTATTCCAGGGATCCAAACCAAACCTGAACCATTAAACCGCTAAAAACCTGTATTTTTTATCGAACCTAAACCGAACCTAAACCACTAAAATAATTTCTAGCCGAATCTTAACCGAACCGCTAAAATGCCTCTTAACTGGTACGAGCCTTATGATTTTATGCCTATAAAATAATATGCAAATTATTACTATATTGTTAAAATTTTAATTATATTCGAATTGTATGAAAGATTATTAGCAATCACATTTGATTGATAAGTGTCAGTCATAATTTTTATAAAGTATAGTATATTGCCATTTTACAGCATTTTTTAAATATTTTAAGCTTATAAATTATAATGCCTAGAGAAAATTAAATCCAATATATAAATTATTTATATATAGTATCATAAATGACACATCAAAATGTAATATCACTGATTGTTAAATAAATATGAATCATAAATTTTGAGCTTTACAAAAAAAAAATCACCCTCTAGAATTTGATAAAATTAACAAAATATCACAATAAAAGCCTAGTAAAATAGAAAAGTTTAAGATGTCATCAAGCCAACAGATGATAGAAGAAGCATTAAAAAAACAAACAATATCAGTAAAACTAAATAAAAAAAAATAATCGATGATTGTACTGAGTTGGTCACTTTTAATAGCAGACCATTCAAATTAATCGATGATAGTTTTAAAAAAATTCTTGATCCTTATTAGAAGCCGTGGGTAAAATTAAAATTAATTCTCAAAATATCTAATCTAATGTTGCAGAATATAAGCCTTAAGTATTTGGTAATATATAATCAAAGAAATAAATATTATAGGTAATTTTTCTAAAAAACCTAAGTTAAATAAAACTATGAATATTTTAAACTATTAGAGAAATCAGAGTAATCGATGCCCAGAATTATGTAAATTGTTTGATATCATACTGGCAGTGCCAGCTACCCAAGTTAGTGTGGAAAGGTTTTTCAACCATTAAATTTATATTATCTCTTTATAGATGTAATTTGAGTGAGAACGAATCTTGAAAATATATTAATTGTGCGGCCTAATAAAAAATTTTAAGTAAATAAAGTTAAATATTGTTCATAGTAAAATTAATTGATTTGTATGATTTATAATTTAAATATTATTTTATAATCTGCAATTAATAAAAAGGAAGGTTTTATGTATGTTTTTTATTTTAATGATGAAATAAAAAAAATATACCTCCCTATACATAATTAAAATGTAGATTTAAATACAAAAATATTCAAACCAAAGGTTCGAACCGAACCGATATATTTATTTTTTACGAACCTAACCTGAACCTTGACCGTTATTTTTATCCGAACCTGAACCTGAACCGAACCGGTATTTGTTTCGGCTTGGATCCCTAGATTATTCTGTAATTTTTTATAAATTTCCTAAATAAAAATTTCTATTTATTAAATATAATAGATCTCTGCGTCAGTTGTTATGATTATCTGAACAAAATTTTGAAAATCAATAAAATATCTTATCTTATAATATATTATTTAAGTAAAATTTAATTTATTGTATTAAATATAAGAAGAAAAAAATTATTATAAAAATATCTCATCTTATAATTTATTATTTTTGTATACTTTTATTTTATATTATAAATAGGAAATCTTTGTGTATAATACAAAATTTTTGAAGTAACGAACGCGTTACGTTTTGAATAGTCACGCCTTCCCTTTATTACAAAATAAAGATAACGAAGTAACGCGTTTCTTTTTTTGAAGTAACGTTTATAGTAGTATAATAAATGATTAAAATTCCAAAAAAAAATTGAATCCAAATCTTCAAGAAACAAAATGTTTAAAACCCCAAACACCTGATCTGAACCAATATTAATTTTTAAACCCGATCCTAAACCATAACTATAATATGGCAAAAATGATATCTATTTTGATTATAGGATGGTTAGTAGCACTTGATCTCTTTCTACCACAAGGAACATTTATGCGGCGAATATTGAGTTTGACATTTTTCACTGCAATTCCAGCTCTTCAAAAAAGGCTCGAATTCTGATAAAACGGCATTTACCCTATATAAAAATTGAATGTTTATTAAATTTATATAAGGCTGTGTCCTAAATCTAAAAAATAAAAATAAATAAATTATAAATTTGGAAGAAAAAAATAATATAAGCCATTTTTAATGTAAAAAAATAAAATAGTGTTCTAAATATTTTTTGGTCATTTACAAAAATTCAAATTCATTAATTTCTATTATTTTTTTTTGAAAAAACTAGTAAATTATATTAAAGCATGTTATTCTTCGTTTTTTTTGATTATGTTTTTGTTCTTTATTATTTCTTTGTAAAAATAAATAATGAATTATTTCGGACATGTTTCTTAATTTGCGTAAATTTATAAATTTTAGGTTTTTTTTCAAAACATTTAGGACACAGTAATGAAATTTGATATTGAGAAATATATCCATTATCTCATGCATGTTATATAAGGTGCAAATAATATTTATCAGATTTCTAACTGAATTTGCCAATCAAAAAAATAAATGAAAAATCTTAATGAGATTATTTTAGGGTTACTTCCAAAAATCTGTGAATTCTTTCAAAACTCTCAGAAATTTTAAAATTTTAGTGAAATCGAACGTTAAATTTTTGAAATTTTCTAGAAATATATTTTATCAAATATTTTCTTATATGTTTTCAATAAAGTTTTCGATATTTGCAAATATTTTAAAATCAAATTTTGAACACAGGCTTGGTTATATATATTTATTTTATTATATAATGTATATTATTTCAGAAATTATCATTAAAGAGTATTGTATTGTTAAAAAGCATTGGATCAATTTTTTAAAACGGCCCGATTAAGATTTTAGCCATATTAATATCATACAAGTCTGGTGATTCTGCTCATAGATGTCAGAAAGATTTGGCGCTCTATTTGTTAAATCTCGAGGCTTATATAATACTATTTTGGCTAAAATCTTAATTTGGCCATTTTTAAAAATCGATCCCAAATCGGGTTTTTAACAACACTAAAGTGTAGACTTTTTAATTATTCTTATTCGAATTTCACTCATTTGAATCCCAAATGAGTTGGGCCTTTCGATATTGATAATTAATAATGCACCAACTATTTCAAGAGTAATATGTTAAATTTGGTATGCGATTACCTAATTTCGCCCGGAGAATGATCAGATTCATCTAATTGAAGGTCAGGTGATCTTTGTTCACAGAATTCCTAAAATATTAATGATTTTTATAATTATTTTTTTAAAAAAAAAGTATTCCAAAAATCTTTTATTACACTTTTAATTTCCCCAAGTTATCATTCATTCCTTAATTTATAGCTTTTTTAAAAAAAGGTTTGTTACAGATTAGTAACAAATAGTGCTTACTTAATCAATTTACGTATTATATTAATATATTACTTTTTCTTTTTTATCATTACTTGTATTTACCGAATCAATTTACATTACTTTTTTTACAAAATGTTTTACTTGAGGCTGAAAATTAAATATATTTTTATATATAGATATCGCGTAAAGATTGAAATAAAAAAAAGGTTGCACATCTTAGTAAAAAGAGATAATAAGTCAATATTATACACAGACTAATACACATTTTACAGGCTAATTCCGCCCAATACCGACTATTAGAGAGACGATAACAATTCTCAGGGAAAGACCTTCCCTTCTTTTCAATAAAGTCAAATTAAGCATCCTAAATCAATAAAATCAATTTTACAAAATCAATTAAATTAACAATAAAATAAAATAATTGTTATTTCTAACCGTAATTCATCAAGGGGAAAATGTGTAATTTTCTTATTTAGGATGGAATATATAAAATGAGATTAAGTAACAAATAACACAAAAACAAAACAGAAAAAATAATAATATATTTTTTAATTTAAAAAGAAATTGATTCAAAATCTAGAATTCTTCAAATTTTCTAGATAGAATTGGCTGAAATTCACAGTGTGGAGGTTCTAATTCATGTTGAAATAATATATCTCCAATCAATATCAAATTTAAAAAAAAAATAAAATCCTTTAATTTAAAATGGATTTTGTTTTGGCTTCTGTTTTCGTTTATGTTTTGAATTTTCTTACTTGACATTCAAAAAAAAATCATTTTTTTTAGTCCGATCCATACAGAGTTTCTAAATGGTTCGATTTGAGCCGATTTTTAAAAATGGCTAACTCAATATAGCTAGAAAAATATTGCCTAAGCCTCAAGATTATGCCAATAGATGTTCAAACCTTTGTGACATCTTTAACCAAAATCCTCAGGCTTGCATAATATTTTTTCTAGATAAAATAGTGAGTTAGCCGGCTAAAATCGAGCAACAATAGTAGATCCATATAAAAATATTTTACTTGTGCATAAGCCATAAAGAAGACTTGATCTGAGGTTATATTTTTAGATCCGAAATTATAGGTAGTGTCTTTTTTATATTTTAGACTAGCACGCAGAGCCTAAAAAAAATTTAATTAAGACATTATTCTCTCTATATATAAATTGAAAAATAAAATGTATTATATATAGCCAAATTTTAAGACAGATTTTATGAGGTTTATTGACAATTTTTCAAAATCTTTCTTGTATTTGAAATAAAAATTTAAACAGGGTTTTGAGTTTAGTGAGATTTATATTTAAAATAACATCAAAAAGTATATTACTTGATACGCTAATTTTACTGAGCTAATATCAGCTATATTTTCTGAAAGTTGAACATATCCTTTCATCTTTTTGCGGATAAATTTAAAAATATAATGACAATAATAATAGTATTTATACCCTTAATTTTCCATCTAGTATGTAAGAGTCATATTTGTGTATGATGCATTCCATTTTCTCTCTAATAAGTTGCATAATTTTAGGAGTTAACCATTCTCTTTCAACACCATTTTCATCATGCTCTATTCCTATTTGACTCGAATTTAAAATTGAGTTAAATCTATTATTACCAACTGCATCTAAACCGTGAAACAATTCATGAGTTAATACATGTCCTAATGCCCCATAAATGAATGGCCTTATCAAAAAATTATAATAAGATAATCATAAATTTTATGGTTTACATGGTATTTTCTGATTTTATCGTTGAATCAATGACCTGATAACCAATATCTGTTTAGAAAGAATATTAGAATTTAGTCATGTTAATAATATAAAATTTATATATAAAAAAAAATTATTTAAAAATTTTATCATTAAATAATTATACCCGTAATATAATTTAAAAAAAAAAATATTTTGACTTATAAATTAAATTAAGATATAAAATAGTATAATTAAATACAAATTATTTCTGTTCGAGATATAAAATGATCCTTCTTAAGGAAAATAATATACAGCACAAATGTTTCTATATAAAACAAAGATAAATAATTTTACAACATAAAATCAAGAAATGGTATTTATATAAAATTATTATATATATTTATTTTTAGTTTTAATGTCTTACGGCAATAACGAAAATATCATTGACACGATTTATATTATATTTAGTTTTTGCTTATTTAAATTCAGTTTATATCGTTACTTTTATTATTGCGTAACATAGAATGATTATTTACTTATTGATTTATTTAAACATATTTAAATTGTTGACAAAAAAGAGATGTATATAAACAGCCAAGTCATGTATTATTCACTATGAAGTGATACATATATTTTGAAACATGATTTAAATTCTTATAGTTATATAAATTAAAATCTGTGACAATTATAGAATGTGTAAAATACATTATTCTCCAAACCACACCAAAATCTTTCTTTATAACAAAAATAATAATGAGTTAAAATGAATAAGATTACGATAAAAAAAAATTACTTACAAAACAAAAGTAAATACAAAAAGTTTAAAAAATAAAACGATTTTTAGTAATTCATATTTTGAATATCAATCTTCTCTCATAATTTTTTTTTATAATAGCGTTGTACAAATTGCAATCATCGAATGTTCTTAAATTTTAAAAGGATATCGTTATATTTTTTGATCCTTAAATATTCTGTTTATATAAATCATCTCATTATTTAATTTAAATATTTATCAAAAAAATGTTTTTTATAATAAAGTATATTATTAATAAATTATGCCATATATATATTTTGCGCATTAATGTTAATTATTGTGAATTTTTTTTAAAATACCTAATAAATATTTTATAATTATAAGCCTTTATACTCTGGAATATTTTCCTTTTAAAAATTAAACTAATATTTTCTTTAATTTTTAAGAGGTATATAACTGGTATTTTTGTCGTTCTAACTGGCCCTCGATGCGTAATCAATAGATTTTTATTTTGTGTCGTTTATATATTTTCCAACATTTTCCTCCTTGTAAAAATGTGATAGTGGGCAATGAGTTTTGTTCAGCTGTAATGAATCAGTATCATATATGTTTTTTTAAAAGTTGATCAAGATGTCCCCTCAGTACCCCACTTCTATTTGATATAACAAATTGCTTTCTTTATTTATTATGACACCTTCATCTCATTTGGTTAATCCAAATATCTCATACCAAATTTTGTCTCCGATATTGTTTTTCGGTAAAGGTGTGAGCATGATCTTTTCGTTATATATTTTATGATTTAACAAATCCCATTTAGTTCTCATGTTTTGATTGAACATTAATTTTATTGAAAGAATGCATGTCATACTATTTAAGTGTGTTTCTTTAATTAAATATAGATTAAGAGCAATATCTAAATTTATATTATTTTGTTCCATAAACTTTTGGAAGTTTTGATTGGATGCTGATGGTGTGCTCAAGTCAGAAAGTGATGTATGTCATGGTCTTCATAAAAATTTTTAAACAATTGACCTGTAAAGCTTAAGCCATAATCCGTGACTATTTGTTTCCGAATATGAAAAACAATTTTAAGTAATTCAATTTGAATAACACTACTTGAAATAAAAATAACCCTCCAAATCCAAAGTTTACATATTCTGAATCATATTTTATATTTTTTACTATCAAGTTATTATTCAAAGTGAATTTGTTATATATTATAATAGAAAATGAATATCTCTTTTTATTTAAAGCTTTTGAGTCTCATGCCTTTCTAACAAGTAATGGAATTAAAAGGTATTATTAAGATTGTTAACCTGTCCATAATCAATTTAAAGTTCTCACATCTTCTTTTCCCCCTTCTTATTAGTTACCTCATTTTGCAATAAGTTAACTTATATCAATCTTTTTATTCAATCTCATAAAAATGGAAATTAGAAATTTAAGACGTGCGTAGGAAACCGCTATAAAAAAAATGACGTTGCCTAATATATATTTATAAAACAATAATATTTTAATTTACAAATTAGGTTTTCGTAGTAATCGTAGTTTGCGTTATGGTCATAAGCCATTTGATCTCTTTTATAATATCTATTATATAAGAAAAAAAAGAAGAAGCATTTAATTAATTTTTATGCCTTTCTTCATCGACATTTTACCCGTCATTCAAGTTAGCACAAATTCAGGGCGAAATAAGAAATAAAGAAAGAAATATAATATTTTGTTATTTGTATAATTGGCCGAAAATTAGCGCTAACTTTGGATGTAGAGTTTTATATATAATTTTAGGGTTAGAAAATTTTTGAATAATTTTTCTATTATCTGGCAAAGGTAAATTTGTTATTGTTACAGCAAAGCGATATAGTTAAAAACCATTTAATTATTTAAGTTTAATTATATTCTAAGTATATAGACCTCGCCAAAATGGAAATGTTCTAGCCCATCATTTCCATGTTTTGTTAAAGTAAATACCTTTCTATATTTCAAAGTTTTAATGTTAAATTTCGCGATTTTCAAATTCCTTATAAAAAAATATTTTTTTTTTTTATCTCATCCATTTCATATCACCTAAACACAAAGTTAGCTTTATATTTTAAAAAAATAGGGAAAGGTGTCAATAAAAATAGCCTCATATTAAAATAATATTTATAGTTTAGAAATTAATTAGGTATATATTGGATATGGCGATCGCTGTGTGCTTTCTAGGGTATTGATTTAAAGAGTATCATGCTAAATTTATCAATTTTGGAATTCATGAAGGAAACATTATTTATTTTATCTGTTTAATATTATCAAATGCATATGTATGGGCTAGAATTTAGTATTTTTTTAAATAAAAATAGACATAGCATGGGACCTAAATTATTGTTTTCAAATGAGCCATTTATCGACGGGTGTGATGTAACATATAGTCTCGATAATTTCTGCCGAAAAAGAAGATACATTTATTATTGCTCAATTTTAAAAGTATAAATAGTTGAAAATATTGGCATCATTTTTCGAATATATGTATCTTTATATTTTCCAAATATACTTTATTAATCTCAAAGATATAAAATACTAAATCTATTTTTTTACTATATTTTAAGAGGGTTAAAATAAAATACTTATGTACTTTTGATTTATTGTCATATTAAGAATTTCTGCATAGTGTAATCGCGTCAAAGTAAAAATATTTTTATTGAAGTCAAGAGGATCAATTGCAACCTAGATTATAAAAAAAACATGTCAATATTTTGGAGATAATATGTTATCAATTTAAAGTAAAAATATTACATTAAATTAAGCTCATATTGAAAGGGAGTAAATTATTTTCATAATGTATATAACATATAATATTTTTATGTAACCGAAAAGTCTTCAACTACTGTATTGGGTTGATCTGTTGTAAACTTGATCTTTTTAACCTTATAATTTAATTCATTTTTAACGATATAATATATATAAATATATATATTTCAATTATTTTAATTATTTATAAAATATATAATTTTATAATAATTTAAATTGTGTTTTAACAATTAAAATAGTGTTGTTAAATGGCTCGATTTGAGCCGATATTTTAGTTAGATAAATATTGTCTAAGCCTTGAGATTATGAATAATGGATGTCCAAACCTTTGTTCCATCTACGAGAGAAATCTTCAGGCTGCGTAATATTTTTCTGGATAAAATATTGAATTAGCCTTTTTTGAAAATCGGCTTAAAACGAGCTGTTTAACAAATTGAAATATAATTCTATTTTTGTAATTTTGATTTTTTTTCGAATAATACCCAAATCGTTTACAAATTTTATGCTTATTTTAAATGTTTATTTTTCTTTATATTTATTTTAATATATTTATCGTCCATCTAGGTACTCAAGTTTTAATCTGGAGGGTTTGGGGAAGGGGAAGGGGGGAGATTGTTAAAATATTTTCCAAAAAATTGACAGATGTAGCAAATGAACGCTAATAAAAAAAAATTTGAATGCAATTAATAAATTATTCAAATAACTTTCTAAGGGGATAGGTTCTAAATCGCTAAACAAAAATCGCTAAAAATTGGGAACCGGGCTTATATCTCCTAGAAAATTTTTAAAGTAAATTTAAATTAATATTAATAGATACTAGGGGACTAAACACTTGTATTTAATCCCCTAGTATCTATTAATATAAATTTCAAATTTACTTTAAAAATTTTCTGGGAGATATAAGCCATGTTCCCAATTTTTAGCGATTTTTGTTTTAGCGATTTAGAACGGGAACCTTTCTAAGTCATCGCTTATAAAATATAATATTTAATTTTTGATAAGCCTTAGTAATCAGTAATTTGTGTTTAAAGGGAATTGTAAGGGTAAATATACTTTTTTTTGGAACATTTAATAATCATATATATAAAAGGCGTATACTAGCATTTCATATGTATATCTGGGCGATTCATTTTTTGAGCGTTTCAGTATTATTTAAATCTGTATTAAGAAACAGCGCATTCATCTTTTTTATCAGAACATTAAGAATTTATTCAGAGCGTTTTAGGTGTTTTTTTCTGGGATTTTCAGTTTTCTGAGCGATTAAATAGAAGCCAATTAATATTAACCTAAAAAGGTTTTAAATTATTTTTAAAAATTATTATGCTAATAACATTTCACCCCCTTTCCATTGATTTAGCCAGCCTATGATCAATAAAAATTTTTTTTAGCATGAGGTTTAGAATGTTTGAAAATGCATAAAGAAGTTACTTTGTTGATAAGAGCGTTTCTGGAGAATGTATCTAGCCATACTATACTTTTTAGTTCAGATACTAATGTTTTTATCATCTCCTTGAATATAATGCGTGTCTTTTAAAAGAATTTAAACAAATAAACAAATATAGAGACCTTTATAATTTACATGTGAAAATATGAATAAATGATTATATATGGTTGTAACTTATATATCTCGCCGTAAATGCGCGTTAATTTAATATATATATGTGAATTAGAAATTACTCCAAAAATTTAGGCCCATTTTGCCTGAAATTTATTTGCTACCTATTTTTATAAATTATTACTGGAATAATCGGTAAAAACTGATCTCCAAACTTAAAAAGGGTTCAAAAAATTATTTAGATATTAGAAAGAAAGAAAGAAAGAAAGAAAGAAAGAAAGAAAGAAAGAAAGAAAGAAAGAAAGAAAGAAAGAAAGAAAGAAAGAAAGAAAGAAAGAAAGAAAGAAAGAAAGAAAGAAAGAAAGAAAGAAAGAAACAAAGAATTATCTAAAGTACATTCTATTTCAAGTGGATTTGGTTTAAAATTAAAACAAGCGCTAAATAATTTAAAGCGAGAAATTTATTGTGAAAATGATTTTGATATTCCTTGTTGCAAAGTTCCCATATATATTTTTTTCAATATTAAATAAAAATTTTTTAAAAGATGACAATATTTAAGGTTGTTAATAATGTAAACTGATACTATTATACGAATAAAAATAAAGGATAAAAATAAAATATTTCTATCAGATTACTTGAACCAATCAGAAAATACTTTCTAAATAGAATATAGGATGTAATCAATAAATTTTAAAAAAATAAAACGTTGTTCAAATGTATTAGCATTATAAATAAACGAGTTTGGAGAAATGCTCTTCAAAATAAAAAAAATCTTCAAAGATTTTCCCTGAAAATTTTTGTAAAGAGGATTTCTTTCTTTCAAATGCTCAAACATGTTTAATGATCAAATTTTATCTAAAATTTTAAATGTTGAAAATCTTTTATAAGTAATCTTTGGTGATTTTAATGCATACAAAATATTTCATGATGAAATAACAAATTTTTAAAAAACTTTTAATCTTCTCCAATTTTGGGATCTTCTTAAAAGTTCATTGCTCAAAATTTTGGTAAAAAAATCTTCAAAAAATAAGTTTATAATGTTAATACTATTTACCAAGGACACCTTTTTCTGATTATAAACTCTGTCCAGATACATGCTTTCGATCGCGTTTGGAAAAAATTTCTCTGTTTGATCAAAACAATATTTTCTCACAGGTTTATTGTTTTTCGAATATGCGAGAAAATGGGAAACTTTGCTATAGAAGGTTTGATATTTGTGGGGCAAAAATAATATCCACTCGCGGAGAACAGAATACATCAAATAATCGTTGACGGCTCTAAAATGCCCAAGGAGATTATTATGTAAAATAAGAATTATAAAACAATTTTATGTATATAAATGTTTTAAGTTTAAATTTTCGTTAACTTGAAAAAATGGGTATTGTGACGATTAGAGGATATCAAATTTTGTAATCTTTCGAAATACTCGATATCGCTTATAATAACTCTGGTTTGAGGATTAAACGAAAGACCGTAGGATGCAAATAGGTCGGCTAGATACATTGACCAATCCATCTAAAGGTTTAATATATTATAAGTCAATAGTCGTTTTTAGGTGAAAAGGGATATATTATTATAAAAATTATATTAATTTGTTTAATAATAAATGTTATATGATAGAAGAAACTTTTAAAAATAATTTTTTAAAAAGCATTACAAAAGGAAATCTTTGATTTAAATCGGCTACGTCGAAAATTTCATTTGCATGAATGTCACCCATTCTTTCATTGATTTCTATAAACTAAATAAAAAAATTATATTTAAATTTTGTTTATGTTGTTGTTTACATTACTCGACTGATATTCCGTTCGAACTCGATAACCATGTTTATTTCATAGCCTTTTAATCTTAGGAAATGACTCAATGTGTTCTTCACGTATTTTTCGTATAATCCTAAAGTAGTTGGGTCGGAATATTGCTCGTAATTAATACTAGGAGTGCCAGGTTTAATAGATATAACGATTTCATTGGACACCAATGATATAACTTCGATATATATCAAGGCAGATGATATGCCCATTTGTGATAAAAGTTTTTGGAAAGGGAAACATAATGCAGTTGCTACCGTTTTCCCAGATTTTGCTCGACAACCTTTGACATTTAAATTAATGTGATCGATAATATCTCGTCTAATGGAGTCATATTTCTTGGCCTTCAAATATTGTGAAACATTTTTCCATAAATCTCCTGCCAATATATTCTCGTAAAAGTAGTTGTAATTTGATGTAAAGGCCTTGTTCGGTAACACAAATCTTTTCATGCAAGACTGATGATATCTGGCAGCATTTTGTTTAAAACTGGAATTAAGCCGAGTTGTATCGTTTGCCACTGTGCATGTAATTTTGTTTCGACACATAATATTTATATTAGGCAAAATTTATTTAATGTAATATCATTTATTATATTGATGATTTTCAAAGTTCGATTTTTGTAATAATTAATTTTTTAAGCTTAGATAATATGTATATGGTTCTAATCTAAAAAAATTTTAAAATTTCATCTAAGGCATGATTACTTTATAGGCTTAAGCAAGATTTTCCTCAAATGAGAGGAAGAACTTTTGAATACATTTTATTTGATATCTTTAAGCCAATTTTTGCTTTTTGAATAAAAAAAGAATTTATTTTGCTCGTCTTAGATGGCATAAAGATTTAGATCTTTTAACTCGAGTTTAGGCAAGATCATTATGCCTAAAATATCGAGTTAGCCGTTTTTAAAAATCGGCTCAAAATCGAGCATTTTAACAACACTAGATAACACTAAAACATTTAATTAATGCATTAATTATTCCAAAATATATTTTATTATTTTTATTAGTTGATTTGGAAGAATAGTATAAAAAAAAAATTATTATTTTTGCTAAAAATATGTATATAGAACACTATAATATTCATTGTTGGTACTATAATTAAATCTTAAATATTATAGGATGATGGAAAAAGATAACTTACTTAAATAATCATGAAGCATGTTCTTACTAATTTGGGTAATTTGTTCAGTTTCAGATTCCAACGATATGACGTACTTTTTTGTTTGCCACGTGGAACAAGAAAAAGCGTAAAAATCTTCGCAAGGATTTATGCTGTCATTAAAAGTTTCTTCCTTTAAGCCACTTTTAGTGGAGACTTTTTGGTAAAGTAAGAAATATATATAAAAATAAATTAAAATGAGAATAATATATTGTTAAATTATGTAGCATTATGATATATAAAAAAAATAATCTTAAATGATTTGGAAAACAATTTTTATAAAAAATTGCAACTAAATTAAACACATAAAATAATGTTTTTTTTATAGTAAATCTTATTTGAAAATTCTAAAATATGACCAGAAATTAATAAATATTATTTAAAGCAGGAAAGCTAGTGACGAGAAATACTGTAAATTATTTTAGGAAATTTTAAGAAGAACTTTAAAAAAAAATATTTTTCAATTTTAATATAGGTGGGCTAAGAGCTCAAAATGGACATGGTTTAACAACACTAACACATTGACTAAAAAAATTTAAATGTATTATTCTTAAAGTAAAGAAAATGATCGTGAAAATATGAAAGGAAATTAAATATCATTTATATACTTGATAATTCGACAAATCCTAGAAATATTGTAATGAAGATATGCTTGACCATGTTTTATTATTTATTATTAGTCTATAAGTTTAAGCTTGCAATAAACTCGATATTCTTTTTTAATTTCTCAAATTTAAATTATTATGAAAAGAAAATTAAAATTCAACTGATTTTTTCTATTAATTTCAGGTAGAATCTTGATTTTATTTTAGTAAAAACAAGCTTGGGTAAATAACTTTAAAATCTTCAATGTAAATATCAAGACATAAAATAGAGAAAATCTTCTAGATAAATCTTTATTTTTACTAACTTTCTTAGGTAAATAATTTAATTATTCAAAAAAAAAATAATAAACTACTGTCAACGGAATTATGTAAACATTAAGAGTCATTTTTTCTTTATTTCGAATTTTACTTCAACAAATATTAGAATTGGAAAAATATAAAAAAAGTTGTTATTTAAACATTTATTTTTTTCATTTCAATGATTCCACCACTTCCTGCTTTTATTTTCATCTTCCTCCTTTACGATCGTGCATGGGTTAAACTATATGTAAAAGTCTAAGTCAAGAGTCCACATATGGTTGATTTTAAAACGTGAATGATGAGACTCACTTGAATAACGAAAACACGTTACCAGATTCTGAATGGTATAATATTTTTCCTGTTATGAACCTGACATCTAAGTATTTATAATAGCAGATTTTTTTTAAAAAAAACAATGGCGAAAAGTAGCCAAAACAAAATTATTTGCACTATGCTAGTTTTCTAAGCAAGCAGAGAGCCTAGCAAGGTTTTAAATACCGGCCGCGTTTTAGATTAAAGAAGAACACTATTTCAATTCTGATCATTTCATTTGATTTTTCTTTAACTAATTTTGAAAAATAAACTAGGTTAGCTTTTAATCTTATTATAAATTTGCTATTCAACTATACAAAAAACCCTTATTAAATTTTTACAAGTTGACTGCTTATAATTTTACACGTGAGTATTAGTGTTGCTAAAAGGTTCGAATAATTTTACACGTGAGTATTAGTGTTGCTAAAAGGTTCGAATATTTTTTGATCAAAATTTTGCCAAAATAATATTATGCAAACAACCTCGAGAATTTGTTAATAAATGTTCACCATTTTGTCCTCTATGAGCAAAATCTTTAGGGATGCAAATATCTTTTGGTGGGTTATCCATTTTTTAAAAATCCAGCCGTTTAAAGCAACACCACTAAAAACACATATTTAAAATGTTTTAAAATTTTTTTTTTTTATTATCGTTATATTTTATATTTTAATCAAATCCACATAATTTCAAATCCGAATAATAAATTAGAAAATATATTATTTAATTATTTTAGGCACAGCAGATAAATAAAATCAATTAAGGTATATATTTTTTAAGTAAAAAAATAAACATTCATTTAGTATTTATAAACGGCTCGATTTGATGTTAGGCTTTTATTTAGGAATAATATATAAATTTAGCTTTGTTTTTGACAAATACTGGCGTAATGCTATTTTTAAGCTTTTGCATGCATTATATGCTATTATTTATTTTTTTACTGTGCCTTTTTATATATTTTTTTTAAAAGTGGAACATATTAAATTTGTTTACCCTGCCACCTTCCTTATTTGCATACTTAAAAAAAATATATTGATATTTAAAATATAACTCATCATCATCTATACCATACATTAATCTAAAAATTTAATTTAATTAAAAATTAATACATTTAAAAAATTATGTAATATATTTTTTTAATATAGAAATATTTTACAAAAAGAAGAATGGAGCTAAATAAAATTGAAAGGGTATAGAAAATAAATTAAATGATGTATTTTAAGAAACAATTAAACTAGTAATTTCGATAATTTAAAGAGTGAGAAAAAACTATAAAATCAAACATTTCTAAATATGCTATTTTTCATTGACCAAATTGTTAAATATTAAAAATGATATTCTTCACTCTTTCGGCGTTGCATGATAAGATTGGATAAATTGTTAACAAATTATATATATTTATGCGATATTAATAAACTTGAGAACGCTACTTCTCTAACATTTTATCTATTAGACTAGTTTTTCTTTCTTAAAATTGATCAAACTCTTATATTTATGACATGTATATCGTACCTAATTAATTTAATTTTAAAAAATTGTAGAATCTCTTTCTAGAAAAATTAGGTCTTACATTTTTTTTTGGCGATAAAAGCGTTCAAAATTAATTTTATATAAATATCATCCTTAGCTTTTAACTATTTTACAAGATTTATTTAGTATATAGGCTATTTAATAATAATAGATAGGTATAGAAAAGATTTAAAGTTTTTATAAAAAGAAAAATTGTCATTAACTATATGAGCAGGGTTAATTTTATGTTAAAATTAGCATTTTTAATAATAATTAAGATCCTAATTTATAAATCATTATCATGTAAATGAGAGTCTACTGCAAAACTGATATTTTAAAATTAACACTAGGATTTTAAATATTTAAATTATCTTTAGCCCTTTACATTAAAGAATTATTTTAAATAATTGATTAATAGGAAGAAAGTGCCTAATATTTGATTATATACTTATTAACGTTATATCTCGTATAAATCTTATATTAAAATATGATTGAATCTATTTTATTTCTTTTTTTTTAAATTACCCAACTAGTGTTGTTAAACGGCTCGATTTGAGCTGATTTTTTAAAAACGAACTCAATATTTTATTCACAAAAATATTAAGCAGGCTTAAAGTTTTTGTTCATAGATGGGTTATAAAGGTTTGAACATCAATTAGCTAAATCTCGAGGTGTAGGAAATATTTTTCTAACTAAAATATTGTCAGGCGTTTTAAAAAATATTGCTACAAATAGAGCCGTTTAACAACACTATTACCAACAATTAAAACCAAATAATACTCTACTCTTATTTATTTTTTATAAACCCTCATAACTATAAATCGATATTATTTATATATTGTGAATAATGGGTAATCATTTTTTGAATTTATTTATTTTTTATCCCAAACTATTATTTTTTAACTACAATCATATAAATATAAAATCAGCGGCCCAATAAATGGTCTACCACAGAGAGCATCTATGCGGAGAATATTGTGATGGCTGTTTCTCACCACAATTCCAGGCTTCCAAAAAAGGTCCATACTCTAACAATAAGTCATTTATTCTGTATAAAATTAAATTTTAATATAAAGTAAATAGCAGAGATTTTATTCATTTTATTATTGAATAAGATATATATTTATTATTATATAGAAGTTTATTCGCCAAAGGATTTATTTATAATGGTTTTATCGTTATTTATACCTAATATCACTGGGAAGATGTTCAAAAATATCCGGCCGATTGTCTATTTCAGGAGATCTAATTTCACAAGATTCCTTTAAAATTAATAAGTTGCTTTTAATGTTTTAAAATTTTCTTATATATATTATACAAATATATCATTTTTTTACTCTTTCCATTTAATTTTACAAAAGTCATATATTCTTCTAGGATTAAGAAGAAGCTATATATTCTCATTTTATTTCATGAAATATGAGTTTAATTTTTTTTAAATTTTCTAATTAGACACTGGCCCTCAAGATAGATCTCCATATATATATATTTCGAGGCTTACTTGAGCAAATGCCATAAAGAAGACTTGATCTGAGGTAATATTCCGGGTTCCTAGCTGATAAGTCACATTCTTATCATCCTTTAAACTTGTCTGTAGAGTCTTGATAATTTGATTAAAATAGATAAAATATACATAATAGTGTGATAGATAGGCGTCAACTTTATGTGGGCAGCGGGACTCGCGTCCCAAGTTTAAATTTTTATACAAAATAGATAATATTGACCCATTAATATAAACACCAATTTATTTTAAAATAATATTTAAAGCTCCCCATATAAATCTTTATACCGCCGCCTTTGAAAGTATATACGTCGGTAAGGGGTTTAATGGAATTTTAGTAGTAACCTATAATTGGTAGTAAAAAATTTTTATTTTAGTGTACATTTATAATATATAATATATAATTTTAAGTTTCACTTTTATTTTTTTTTTCTTCTGTGATTTTGTTGACAAGACAATTATAAATTACTCAAAAGTTAACGATAAAATTATCTATAATTTAGAAGATAGTTTCTAAACATTCTGGAATACATTTTAGGTGAAATCAGATTGTTAAAATTAAGAAAATCAAAATGATTTAAAATTGAAAAAATATATAATAAATTGCTGAAAAAACACATTACCGCTAACATTTACATTATGATATAGTGCAAATTATAAATTTAAAATGATTTTATGAGCCGAGTTTTAATCTAATCAAATCAACATAGCAATATTATTTTAAATTATTTCAATAAAATATCTAAATAAGAAATGTATTTATTATTTATTAATTAGTCAAATCTATATTAATTTTTTTAAATTATATCATACCAATATAATATTTAAAAATTTACGCATTTTACAATCGTAATTAATACAAATATATATTATTTTGTTGTAAAATATATTACATATTGTTGTATTTATTTTTTCTTCTTAAAGACAGTTTTTGACTGAAGTTATAAAAAAAATAATATAATTACATATTTCTAAACCTACATTATATTATTTTGATATTATATTAGTCTTAAAAATTTATTCTGTTTCTTTTTTGGTTAGAAATTTGATAATATCTAAAATGTTACTTTTATTTTTAGACTATACCATCCCTGAATTTTTGGGTCTAATTAATCCACTGGAATTTTAAAAAAATTAATTTTTTACGGTATTTTAAAAAAGAGATAGTAGTTATCTTTTTAAGAAAAATATCGTGTTACTTATAGAAATATGCTTCCGTTGTTAGCAACGCTTTAGCTTTAAATACTTAACAAGAATAATTGGAATTCGAATTTACAAGGTTTGAAATTTAATACACGGGAAGAAGGGGGGGGGGATCGTATTAAATATAATGGATTTTACATTCATATTTGTCACTGAAGCATGTTATGAAAATGATTTTTATTATACCTTGTATGCTAATTTCAGTGAACTATCCGCTATAATTTCTTCAAGTTGATTTTCTCCTTTTGTCTTTGTTTTTTAAAGAAAACTAAAAAAGAATAGTAAAGCACAATATTTACCACAATTTTCCCATTGAATGTATAAGATTGATTGTGAATAAAGCATTTCATTTTTTCTTTAATAAGCTGCTTAGTTGCCGGAGTTATCCATTCTCTTCTAACACCTTCTTCGTCAAAATCTATTCCTAATTTTTGCATGGATTTAATATTGTTTTTGAAATCTATCATTATTACCAGTGGAATCTAAAGAGTGAAATAATTCATGGGCTAATGCTGTACCTAATGCTCCATATGTTAATGACCTTATTATAAAAATATAATAAAACGCAATGAAAATATCATTAATATCAGATACCGCTCACCCTAAATTCCCCTTCCCTGTCCGGGCCAAATTTCTTTTTCGAAATATTTCCGGGCCAGACCTTGTCTAAACGTAACATTTCAAATCCCGGCTTGGCTATTTAATTAGTACCTCTGATAAAAGAAATTTAAATATACCTGCTTTTTTGTGATCCCACACTTGCATCGATGGTCTGATAAGTAATGTCTATAAATTAATATCAGAATTAGATTAGTATTTTTTTTGAAATACTATAATTTATAATTAAGAGCCTTTCTATAAGTAAACTTTACTTCCACTCCATAAATACCTTAAAGTGAATATTTTTTTACTTATTATTTGCCTAATTTATCAGTTAGCTAACCTAATTAATTCGTAATTATATAATTTTATTGCTGTTTTCTCTAAATTATCTCTCAATCCAATCCTAATACATTCGTTAAATATAATATTATTTTAATTACATATTTTATTTCGGTTGGTATCATAATGGATCTTCTCGTCATAAGCCATTTGTTCCCGTTCAAAATATCTAATAATCAAGTTAAAAAATGGATTTTTAAAATAAAATTTGTTGTTATTTGGCGCATAACCATTTAGAATTCGGTATTGTAAACTCATTTATTAATAATATTTAAAACAAATCGAAAATGTGCCTTATTACAGGTCCATAAAGTCGACCTAACTTTGAATTTTTGATGGCCTATCTTATTGAACGGATGTATACCCGGGTTGTACATTTTTTTAGTTCAATTTTTACCATTATTGTGGAAAGAGAGAGAAAGCTACCTATTGATTATTCTTGGCGCCAAAATTTTAACGGTCAACATCTGGAAAATGATAACCGATATGGTATAAATCCGTTCAATAGGTAAATCATGAGGGGGGATGGGCGGTGAACTCGACCTCTTTATTGTTTTTATAAAATATATAATATTTTTATATTCCAATCATTGCATAATTATAATTGATATACTAATTTTAGTTATATTAAATTTGCCATTATTATATAGATTTTTAAGTGACATAATGTCTCTTTCACAGACGTAGTAAAAAATTGTTTTTTTTAAAAAATCAGTGTCCTATTTTAAATTTAATTATTACGGGAAAAGTTTAAAAAATTGACAAAAAAAAATCCCTACAAATCTGAAAAATAAAGTTGGGTAATGTCGAAATATCGCCTAATTCGGCTGAATCTTCAGGCGCTTGCCGGAGAAAATTTGTTAACATTATGGCGTTTTAATTTTTCTTCCAAATTTGACTCTATCTTTTTAAGAAAAACTCCGATATCAAGGTGATAGTTTTCGGCTAAAAATTGGCTTAAACAAATCGTCGACTGAGTATCGCAGTATTTTACTAATTTTTCAGTAGTGTTGTTAAACGGCCCGTTTTGAGCCGATTTTTTAAAACAGCTCACTCAATATTTTAGCCAGAAAAATATTGCCTAAGACTCGAGATTTCGATAATATAAGTTTCCTTCTATGAGCAAATCAGGTTTGGGTAATATTGATAAAATATTTAGTTAGCCGATTATCAATACTATTTTTCAGAAAACATTTTAAAAAATAAATATTATCAAAGGATATTTACTTAATTATTTTTCAACATTTTTATTTTCATTATATAAGAATACAATAATGAGGGGGATTGCTCTATCAGAAAAATATGTATATAGCAAAAAAAGCGAATATAAGACACTTATAACCCATGTTTTTATTCAAAAAATTTTAAATTAATCTTCAAGTTTAGACTCAGCTTAGAGGCTTAATTCAATTTTTTAGACTAAAAGCTTGACTAGACCACTATAGAGATGGTCAAAGTTAGGTAATTTAACAACAATAACATTCAATCGACGAAATAGCTATATTCGGTTTAAGGCAAAACTTTAAAATAATATCTTATAGTATTACTTCTATACAAATTGAAAATAGGATGGATATTATATGTTCGATGTTAAACGAGAAAAATGTGTGTATTATTTTGCCATGCCAATGTATAATTTAAAAATAAATAAAATATTGAAGGTAAATATATATCATATACTTACTAACTTGTATATATTTCTGGCAACCATATTTTTTTAAAAAAAAAATGTTTTCAATAAAATGATAGTTTTAAATTGATCGAATAATTTTTTTTAAATACAATTTTTGCTGAAATTTCTCATGACTCGATATTTATTGGCCAAGAGTGCGAGAATACATGAGGACTACAAATTTTCTATCAATTTACTCCGATATCAACAAATATATTTTTGAAATGGGACAGAATGAGACAATTCGCATTCCCTCTTGCTAATACATCTCGCATTAACTAAATAAGTTCAACACCTAACCTTGTCATCAAAAGATTCTCAAGATATAAAACCCATATAATACTGAGAAAATGTTTACTAAGATAGCTGAAAAGGATTCTAAAAAAATTCATTAAATTAAAGAAAAAGAATGGTTCTCATAGAAAACCTCTTATATATCAAAAATATCAGGAACAAAACTAAATTATCCTAAACTAAAGACAACAATAAGAGCTGTTAATAATTGATTAAACAAGAGTTTCAGCTAAAAAATTAGTTTAAAATCACAAATTCTATTAACTTGAAAATACAGCAAAATAACACCTCGTTATTCGACAAAATTATAAGGTGGAAAAAAATGAGCGCTGTTAAAATAACTAGTTATTGGCAAATTTTCGGAAATTGAAACGACAAAGCTATTTTTTTAAATAATTCCAAGTTTACATATCTCTTAATAGATGTATATTTCAATATATAATTAACCTTTAAATAAACCACTTCTTTTAATTATATTTTTATATAGAATATTATGTTAATAAAATTTATATTCTTTTAATAAATAGTTAAATCTACCTTTTTTAAATTAGCCATTTAAGGATAGAATTGACTCATTAATAATATTCCTCAATTGTTTATTTAATATAATGTTGCTTTACGTTAAGCTATCTATAATAGTAGTTTTGTATATATTATAAATATTTTATATAATAATTTTAGTTTAATAAATAAAATATATTTGAAAATTAAAAGGCTTAAAGCAAGATCTATATTCTATTATATAATCACTTGTAATTATTAAACTTAAACCGTTTTGTCACACTGATTATCTTAAGTTTTATAATTTTCTCTAAATTCATAATGATCCTAATAACATTTCCTCAAAAAAATATTAAACTTTTTGTTTTTATATTATTGATTCAACGGTGAATAAGTGGTCAATTGATTTATAATTTCAAATTCCTCAAAAATGCCTTGTTTTTAGTTTAATTTTTTAAAAAACTTTGCAAGATATTTCATTTCAATTTTATTTATTTATTATTTAATTTTTTCGGTGATGGAGGATTGGAGAAGGGAGAAGATTTTCCCAAATTTATATAGGACAAAACATATGAATGTAGTTCAACTTTTAAAGAATTTATTCAGATTTGTAACCATGTAAATTTGGTCACACCATGATTTCCAAATCTTTTTTTAATTATTATTACTAGTGTTGTTAAAAAGCTCTATTTAAGCTGTTTTAAAAATGGCTAACTTAATATTTTAGCCAGAAAAAACATTGCATAAGCCTCAAAATTTGGCCAATAAATGTCGGCTTTCTGACAGCTTCGATCAAAATATTTTAGGCTTACGTAATATTTTTCAGGATAAAACATTAAGTTAGTTTTTTTAAAAAATCTGCTCAAAGCGAGCCATTTAGCCACACTAATTATGCCTGACATATTTTTTATAATATAAGAACCCTTGCCCTCCTCATACTTTGCTTTAATTCTTCCACCCATTTCTACATTGATCTACTAGAACATCGATGGAGTTGGTAAATCAAAACAATATATAAAAATCTACTTTTCAAAAGATATAAAATATGTGAAATGTTAAAAATATTAATCGCCCATTGCTTTCCAATGCCAATATAAAGTATTTTGATATTATTTAGATATAAATTTTTCGTATGTATTCCACCTATTCTACCCTTTTAATATTAAATTTTTTTAACATTAAAGCACTAGAAACTCTGTAAGAATGGCATAGACAAATAAATTTCACTGAGGGGTGGGGGTATTTTTATTCATAAATTTGTGTGATTATCTGGAAAAAAAATTAAAAATACCTATTTGTTCATTGTTAATTTATGAATATTTCTTTAATATTAACAATATTTATTATATAATGATCTGGTCAAAAAACTTTTATTGTTTTTGAAGAAAATGAATGTTGTATTTTATTATAATTAAATTATAAAACACATTTATAATATATATATTTATTTATAATTATTTACCTGTGATTTTGGTTGATCACCAATCCTAGTAATACTGCGTTGTGTAACCGCGATAATGCAAAAACATTTTTATTGAAGTCAAGAGGGTCCATTATAACCTTTTTAATTTTTATATCTATTATTGGCGAGTCCGGATATATTTAAAAAATAAAAATGCGGCCTGACCCGTGTACCCGGACCTGGCCGGGCTTAGGGCGGGCCTGCAGGTCTCTGATTTAATATAAATATGACAATAAATATATTGTCTTTAAAGCAGGGTTTATTAAAAAATTTTAAAAAATTTTGATTTCATTTTGAAATATTTTTTTTTTATGCACGAAAATTACAAATTATATTTATTTGTAAAAGATTTTGGCATTTTTTATGAAAAAAATTTGATAAAAAATATCACTTCTCCAAAATAAAATCTTCAAGGTTTTTGCTCAAAAATTTTGTTAAGATTTTATTCAAACTCTGCTTTAAAAAGGGATCTAATAATCTTATTATAACCTCATTAAATATATAAACTAATTTTTTATCTGAATTTTTTTTGCAATCATGTTTTTTTATCATAATTATTTAAAATAATATTTTTTTATAAAATATTGATTAAAATAAAACTATAACCCTCCTTCATTCATATCTAGCGAATTCACAGCGAATGCTTATTTTGGTATTCTCCGCCGTAAATTCTTGCCAACTGAGGGGTTACCCTGTATTTACTGTTAGCCCAAAATGGCGGCGAAGTATACAAAATATGCTGTATTTTTGTGTATTTTTATATAGCTTTGCCAAATTTCCGCTAACTGTTAAGACAGAATAAGGGGAATAACTGAATTTTATTTTAAATCATATTTTTTTTTAGAAATAATAGATTATAATTTGTAAAATTTGAACATTTGCAGTACACACAATCAAATCGGATAAAATTTTTTTTATACATTTGATATAGATTTTAATTTAAGAAAATATTTTATTGATTCCGCACTTAGGAATTTGAGATGAATTTATTCCCGGGAGAAATGATAAGGAAAAAAATAATGTCTGAGAAATTTTAATCCAATTAACCATTAAAATCATTGCGCATAAATAAGTTAATATATTATGTTTAATATACCGAAAGATCTTCAACAACGATATCAGGTTGATCTGGAATGAGGGCCGTTTTTGTAATCTAATAATATAATTTATTAATTAGTAGAGCTCTCTATGCCAAAATTTTATTTTCTAAACAATTTTATTATTAAATTAATATTTATAATTAAGATCGTTTAACCCTAACTCTTAAGCACCACCTTTTTCACATTTAATTAGTGCTTTTATGAAAATTTAGAGTATTTTTTGGGGCGGGGTCTTTTTACGTATTTTTTTGCCACTTTGCGTTGTTTTCTAAAAATATTTTTGATCTTCTTAGCGTCATTTTAGTGCTATTCTAAATTTTTTTCTTTGTCAATTTCCCTTATTTCATTTTAGTTCATTGGATTTAGCAATCTGTGCACTTTTTTCGTAGTTTAGACATTTTGCTAATTTTTAAGTTCTTTTTGCGTATTTTTAGGCTTATTTCTCATTATTTTCCTTTATTTTGCGTGATTTAGTAATGCCTCTTTGAGAGTTTCTAATACTTACATCTTATTGAGGTAATTTATTTTTTTTTTAAAAAAAGAAGTTACTTTGCTAATTATAGCGTTCCTGGAGACAAGTCTAGCCATTCTATCGCATTCAATTCAGTAATAAACGTTTTTTTCAATTCATTGAATATTTCGAGAGTCTTTTGCGATTTAAATAAATATTTTATTTAATTTATTTTTACAATATTTATTTAATTTAGTTTAGTTTGAGAAAGCATTCATTTATGTAATCGTAAGTATATATAATCAATTTTTAACAAATATTTTTATATTATTAAATTATTGTATATTACAGAAATAAACTTACCAAATTTACTTTTTCCTCACTGTACACTTTGTCTAAATACATACTTTTAAGTGCATTTGGGAAGAACTTTTCCGTTTGATCAAAGCAATATTTATTCATAGGTGTATCGTTTGGAGGGTTTAGAAAGTATTTCCTTATGCTCTTGAACTCGGGTGTTTTATATTTGGAAGGCAAATAGAATATCCAATCATTGAGAACAGAGAACATCAAATAATCATTCACCGTCCTAATATGCCGAAAAATGATATAAATAAATAAATTAGTATATAAATAAATCAACTTTTATATATTTTGATGTTGGTATAGTTCAAATTTTGTATATAAAATTTTGTTATGCAGGAAATAAGCAGCATAATATTTATCACATGCAGTATTATTTTTTGGATATAACTATTTATAGTTTATAGTTTGATACTGGTCATTTTATAGGCATAGCCAAAAAGAGTCAGATCGTTTTAGTAATTATTATTTCAAAGAAATAAATAGTATTTCACATACCCTACTCTCTATGAATATAATATATATGATATCAAACAATAACATTAGAAAAAACTACTTATATATTTTTTCAACTAGGGGAGACCGGGGTAAAGCGATTGACGGGGTAACAATGTTAACGCGAATAACTTTTTAACCATTGAGTATAAAGACCTTAAATTTGGTGTGAAGATGTATTTTTATATCTAATTTCTTACCTATGTTCATCTTTTAAAAAACTTACCTGGTTTTATATATTTTGTCAAAAAACTGTTTTTTACCCAAAAAATATAAAAATTAATCTCTAGTATATTTTGCTTTTAGTAAAATTTACATATCCTCAGGATTCAAAACTTGGCACACATGTTCCTTAATGTATTAACTATAAAATAAAATTTATCTGACATCTTTAGCTATATTAGAAGTCACGCAATAACGATATATATAATATATGTCACCTAGGGGTAAAGCTGTTATGGGTAAAACGGTTAAAATATAAAATTATTCACATTAAATTTTTCATTCATTTATTATAATCAAATAAATATTGATATTTAATATTAAAGTTACCAATTGAGCATTATTAAAATTATGAAATTAATTCAATTTATTTAATTAATTATATATCATTTTAACTCTATGGAACTGGTATTGTTAATTATTAAAAGTAAATTGTTTTATTTTATAAATAAACAAGATAAGAGGATTTGCATATCAGCTTGCTAAAGAATATGGCAAATCTTTCCCAGAAAGCTGGACAACTAATGGTATGGCTGGAGAGGACTGGTTTATGGGGTTTAGAAAACGACATTCCCAACTTTCGATTCGTACCCCTGAAGCTACTAGTCTAGCAAGAGCATATGGCTTCAATCCCACAAATGTCAATAAATTTTTTGAAAATTTAATTAAGCTATATAATTCTTATAACTTTGAACCACATAATATATGGAATGCAGATGAAAGTGGTTTCACCACCGTTCAAACTCCTGCAAAAATTATAGCACAGAAGGGTGCCAAACAAGTCGGCTCTATAACGTCAGGAGAAAGAGGAACGTTAGTTACAATATGTTTAGCCATCAATGCTATAGGCCATAGCATTCCACCATTTTTTATTTTTCCAAGAAAACGATACAAAGATCACTTTATTCGTGATGGGCCTATTGGATCTAAGGGTGTGGGAAACGCATCGGGTTGGATGCAAGAGGAGGAATTTTTATCTTTTTTGGAACACTTTAAAAAATATTCTAGTGCATCCAATGAGAAAAATGTCTTATTAATCTTAGATAACCATAGCTCTCATTGTTCAATTTCCGTTATAAACTATTGTCGCTCCAATGGGATTGTTATTCTAACACTTCCACCACATTGCTCGCATAAACTCCAACCATTAGACAAAGCAGTTTATGGGCCATTGAAAAAGTTTTATAATGGAGCTATTGACACATGGATGAGAAATCATGTGGGCAACAATTTCAGATTTATGATATTCCAGGAGTGTTAAAAAATGAAATACCAAGGGCAGTGACACCAAATAATATATTAAATGGGTTGTTAGCATGTGGCATATTTCCTTTAAACCCAAATATATTTACAGAACAAGATTATATCTGCTGTAATAATTCAAATGCTAGCTCAAATATTGAATTTGAAAATAATGATGAAAATATTACAGTGACTCAAAATCTTACAGTGACTCAAAATAATGATAGTGATTTATCTATATTATTGAACGAAAATGTTCCAGATGATATTGATGAACCTTATCATGATATGTTACCATCATGCTCAAAAAATTATAATAAAGTATTCAATCCTTCATCTATAATACCTATTCCAAAATTATTCAATATTTCATCGGATAAAATATCTAAAAAAAAGAATTCAGAAATATTAACATCTACACCTTATAAAAAAAAATTATTAATTCAGAGAAAAAAAAAGATATCAAAAAATAATTGTTTATGTGTTATTTGTAATAAAAACTATAAAAATAGTCGCGAGGGCGATGAATGGCTAAAATGTACAATGTGCCTTGAATGGGCACATTCTAAATGTGCTAATTATGATAATTATTTTACATGTCCTTATTGTATCGATTAGTTTTTAAATAAAAATCATAAATAAATCTTAAATTTGTAATATTTGTTAAATAAAACAATAAATATGTGTCAAATATTATAACCACTTTACCCTAGTTCTTATCCATTTTACCCTGTACCCAGGGTAAAATGGCGAAAATGAGTAGTTTTACATAACTAATCATAGCTCCTAAAATATTATAGATAGAGGGCTACACTTTTTTTTATCTTTTAGAAGAGGGATGGGGCTACACATTGATCTATAATTTGTTGTGTTTGACTCTTGTTTAAAATTTTTATGGTAAATATGCAAAATGCCTATCGTTTTACCCCGGTCTCCCCTATAAATGAGAATTTTTTTTAAAAAAAACATTAGGCTTTAAAACAAAAATATATAATGTAATCCAACCAAAAAAACTGCGAAAAAACAATCTAACCCTATAGTTAGTGCGAATTCGCGATGAATTATACAAAATATATAACATTTTTGGTGTATTTTTCAGGGATGTGAACCCTCTGGACCCTATTTTGGCTGAACCCGGACCCGAATTCTTTTAAAAAGTGGAGGGTCCAAGGGTTCATGGTGTTAAAAGATTTTAACTTATAATTATTTTTTTTTAAATTAATGTAAAAATATAATTTTTAAAAAAATAAAATAAAATTTTTATAATTTTATTAATTTTATTAATTTTTTCGTTTTTCTTCCTGGACTTCTTTTCATTTTATTTAGATATTGATACCATACATTCTTTTATAGTGTAAGTAATAATATTTTAATATGTAAATTTATTTGCTCTTATAAGAAATACTTTGACTATTTTGATTTGAAAGTGAAATATTTGGAATTATTTTGTACTGTAAGTAATAATATTTTAATTTTAAAGGCTAATTTATTAATATCTTATATAAAAATTTTATAATGATTATTTTGCAGTGTTAAAATATTAGGCAAATGGCAATTTTAGATTGCACAACATGTTGGTCCTCTATATATATGATGCTAGAGCGATTATTAAGTTTGAAATAATTCTGTAATGATTTTATCATAGGAGCATGTAAAATCATTTTGTCAGAAGATGATTGGAATCAAGTAAAAGAGCTTACTAGTGTGCTGGTTCCTTTAAAAATAACAACATTAAGATTGCAAGCAGAACAATTATGTTTATCGGATTATTATGGCATATGGTTGTGTCGATTAGAGTTAGGGAGATTAACAAGTTCTTTTTCAAATGAAGTATTAGAAAATATGAAAATAAGAGAGCAACATTATTTACAAAATAGTGTTGTATATGCTTCGATATATTTAGACCAGCGATATCAGGTTTTATTAAGTAGTGAGCAAAAACAAATGGCTATAGACCATCTTGAAGATTTATGGCATACCCAAAACTCTATTATTTACAATATTGGAGGCTACAACAATATCTACTGGTTGTAGCGATAATAATAATAATGATATTGATGATCTGGAAATTTTACTATTAGATAGAGAAAAAAAAATTAAATTATCATCTGATAGAAAGGAGCAAAAAATATCTATTGTATCTTTAATAGAAAAGTTCTCGGAAGTTAAGAGAATAAATAGAGATGCAAACATTTTAAAATTCTGGGAGGAAAATTCTTCATCTAGAATTATATACCTTGTCTAGAATCGTCATGCCTGTGCCGGCCACACAAGTACAATAATTTATGTATTATAAAAATGACAATCTATTTTAGGTAAGC